TGTTCTGAAGGAACGGCATACTCATGCCATCTCTTCAGAGCTCTGTGACATTTCTGTGACTCCCGCGCGCATGTGAGGGAGTAATGTCATCATGACTTGGCAGTCTAACACCAAAACCCTTCAATCCGGAAAGAAGACAGGGTGAAGATGGAAGCCCTGTCAGTAGTGACAGGGCACCGCTGGAGGGCTTTGTTTTATCATAGTTAAGTTTATCATAATGTGATGAATACTAGCATATTAAAACATTGCCTTGCAGGGGGAAATAATTTTTTCTTTTATTGAAACACTTTACTACTGCTTTAAAGTGATAGGAAACTCCACTTTTTGTCTTGTACCTACAGATAAGGCTATAATAAGACTTACCTGTAGGTACAGTGAACATCTCTTAAATGTGCACTGTTTAGGAGATATTCCAATGTGTAGCAGCGCACATCACCGGCGCATGCACACTGCATTCTCAATGGACAGCATGCCGTCCATTGAGAGAGCTGGGCTGCTGCCGTGACTCCCATGTGCATGTGTGGGAGTGATGTCCTTGTGGCTCGGCCATTCAAACGGTTGGAGCCCGTGAACCCGGAAGGAAGATCGGTTGAAGATGGAATCCCTGTCAGTGGTGACAGAGCGCTGTTGGAGGGATCCATTTTTTTTATGTAAGTCTGTCATAATGTACTAGTATGCAGTGCATACTAGCATATTATGACATGAGCCTGCAGTGGAACCACTTTGTTTTTTTATTTTTTTTGTGGTTTACTACCACTTTAACAAAGATGATAGCACAGTTTAGCATACAGAGTGATTAGTAATAAGGACTATTAAGCATAAGATGACACTTGGGGGTTGATTTACTAAAGCTGGAGAGTGCAAAATTTGGTGCAACTGTGCATGTTAGCTAATCAGCGTCTAACTTCAGCTTGTTGAACTTGAGCTGCACCAGATTTGCACTTTACGGCTTTAGTTAATCAACCCATTGGTGTCCAGATCAGCATAAACTGTAGCAAGGTCACCTAAAGTGCAGCAGTGGTGCAGTACTAAAGCTTGATTTACTAAATACAGGAGACTATACTGCTGTAGTGCATTAATGACAACTACGCTAGGCCTAGACTGATTGGATGTGCGCTGTCCATAAAAATGAAAGAAAGGGGAGAAGGGATGAAAAGGGATTTGCAGGGTGGTTTTGCTGGAGGCACAGTCCTTTATGTTGCTCTTCTGCCAGCTACTGTTGGGGCCCTTTAAGAGCGTCAGTGCACTTAACGCCAGTCCCAGTTAACCTGCATAAAGTATAGTGACTGAATAGGTATGGTATATTATTGGCATTTAGAAGCTTTAAGAAGCGTTTAGACACATTTGGTGTTTTAATTGCTGGTAAACTCTTGTCCTGAATGCAGTTTTTGTGCTTTCAGAAAAATGCCAGTAAACTCAGTTGTGTGTAAACTCCTGTAAACAACTATGTGTATATGGACACATAAGACAGCATAGAGGAGAGTTCAGGGGCTTCAGAAAAAAATGCCCATCTGCTCTAAATGTCAGTTTAGCAGCTGCAGTGTACATGAGAGCTAACGCTGCATAATCACACATGCAATATATAGCTCTCCCTACTATTGTAGATTAGATACCAGCGAGCCAATCCAGCTGGATTCAGAATTCAAGAACCTTGTGTTAGAGGATTATGTAGGGTGCTGCTGTTGACTTCCTTTTGTTCAATAACAAAAAAGTAATTATTTAGTAATAATCTAGTTTATTGTCAAGATTTCTGGGAAACTGTCATGTACAGAAAGGAAAGATAGCAACGATAGCTCAGTATTTGTCTCAACACAGGTTTCCACTCATGTGCAATCACCTAAATTTCACAATTACAATTATTTGGAATTTTAAAAATGTATTAATCTCTAAATATAAAGATAATAATGGGGAGAAACAAAGGCTGATAATGATGTTGGGATTCAGGTTTGAAAAAATGAAGGATAATGTACAATGGTTTTGCACATACATTCTATTATGGCCAAGATCTTAATTTTTTTTATTGAAATACTGCATATTAATATTATGTGGTCTGCTATCCTTTTCACGCTGTTAACATGTTTTTTCACTTAAATATATCATCACAGAGGTGACTTCTCCCTTATAAGATGGCTAAGATGAAGATGTCTTTAAGACAACAAAAAGATGCTGTTGGTCTGTTTCTTTAGGCTTGGCTTACATGGGCTTCAGCTTGTACATGAGTGTACAGAGCTTTTTCATTTTCAGAGCTTTTGGGAAGCTTTGCTAAAGCTTTTAAAGTACTATACAGATCCACAATGTTAAAGGATAAGTACCCTTTTTGTAACATGTTACACCCATATTCAGGGTTGTCCTGGCCCCCGCACCCCCCCCCACCCCCCCCCCCCCTCCCGATGTGACAGTTAGCGGGGAAACTTCTCCATCATCCCCCACGGTTGCTGTTTTTTAAAAAAAAAACAGGGCCATTCTGGGCTTCACCTGCCTGGCTGCATCATCTATTCACAGTGTTCTGTGAATGAGAAGACTACAAGTCCCAACAAACTTTGCGGCTGTCAGCTTGTAGTTCTCAATGAACTACCACAGCGCTCAACATTAATTCTTTATGTCAGTGTAAAACTGTCTGCTCGTACGAAGTATCTGCTGATTGCTGGTGCAATGCTATCCAGGCTCCTAAAACAAAAAAAATTGTAAATGCACATTCTATTTACCTGCAAAAAAATGTGTTATTGCGAGCTTATCCTTTACACACAGATCTTTGTGACAGTGCTGAATGCCATTTTAAACAAGTTGTTAACGGGTTTCAAAAAACAAAATACAAAATGAATCACCTAAAGATAACATAACAACATATACTGTAGCTTCACTTAGAGATTTTTCACACAATACTGTTTTTTCTTCTTCTTGCCAACACATGACGTGAACTGGTTGATTGCTTCTTCCTCTCACACTGTTGCGCTGCTATACAGGGGTTGCCTGGTATCAATAAGTTGATACCAGGTCAAATTTTGGTACTTTTACTGCTTGCAATTACAAAAAATAATTGAATAATATATCAAATTATTCCAGAACTGTGGATATTGTGTTTTAGAACTGCCTAGAGTTCAGCTTTAAAGTTTGTTGATAGTTTACTGAAGCTTGCAAGCGGCTTGTACAGTCCATACCCGTTAGGACCTGTGTTTACATTCCCATACTGTAGTTCTTTAACCACTCATGGACCACCCACCCACAATATACTGCAGACAGGCAGCCCGTACAGGCACATTGACTTACCTGTATGTTGCTGGCCTCTTCCAGGTACAGGGAGCGCATGCATACCCTCCTGCTCGATGACTCCCACTGTGGTTTATGGCCAGGACCTTCTGATTAGCTGTGTCCAATCACAGCCCAGAGCCCTGTGTTGACAATCAGCACAGGGCATTGTACAGTGTGAACTATCTCTCTGTTTATTTTCCCTACAGAGAGATGTTTAGTAAAAATCTGCACATAATACACACATTACATGTTGTTAGACAAACATTTAACCCCTAGAGTACCTGAGATGTTAACCCTTTCCCAGTCAGTGTCATTAGTACAGTGATAGTGTATTATCACTGATCACTGTATTAAAGCTGTTTTTCTTTTAAGGGAGATCCAACTATTATATACCCATTGTGCTAAGTGCTTCAGTCACTTGACCTGCAATAATGTCTATGCCTATGTCTATGTCATATCTATTTCATGCAAATAATATCACATATACAGAGCAAACCTGAAGGAAATGGTAATTTAACAAGGGTTAACAGAATACTTTATTTTTGCAGGGTTTTCTGTTGTGCAGGTCACAGCAACAGATGCAGACAGTGGCCCAAACCAACAACTAACCTACCGTATAGAAAGTGGTGCCCAAGACAGGTTCCTTATTGATTCCTCTACAGGTGTCATTAGGGTGGCCAACGTAACTGTGGACAGGGAAGAGAAGGATGCCTACAGGCTAATAGTAGTTGCCACAGACCATGGCACCACGCCTTTATCTGGAAGTGCCACAGTCAACATACTCATCGATGATGTTAATGATTGCCCACCAGAGTTTGTCAATCCCATCCAGACTGTCAGTGTCTTGGAATCAGCTGAGGTGGGAACTATTGTAGCTGAGGTAACTGCCATCGATCGAGACCTCAATCCTCGACTGGAGTATTACATCATTGAAATTGTGGCCACAGATGATACCAATGTTATTGTGCCTAATCAGCAGGGAACATTCGGTATAGACTTCAAAACAGGTACTTCATTTGTATCCATTGAATAAACTATATTTTCTTCTTTATTATGAAACTTCCTTATACTAGCTAGAATTTCCCATCATTGCACTCTACTTGCATGAACCTATAAATACCCTAATCTTCTCTGGTGCTCCTCTGATATTCTTGCCTTACTGTTCCTCTTTTCTTTTAAAATTCTTCTGTCTTCTTCTGAATTTCTGGTGAATGAAAGTGTCATGCTACTAATCAACTGACTCTTCTCTTTCCTTTATGGCTCACACCTCTGAAGGTTTGATGAGTGTTATCTCTGTAAAAGCCTTTCCTGTCTGCCTCATGCATTGTCTTCCTACATCATCATCATCATCATCATCATCATAATAACTGTCACTGCTGTTGCTGCTGCACTCTCATAGTCATTGCTGGCATGGATGTCAACATGCTCATCATAAAGGGCAAGGCATGTCCTTTATTGGTTGTTGTTAAGCCTATGCAGACTGAACATGGGATCATTGGAGCTTGACATAGAGCTGGAACTGGGTTGAAATAATGTGATGTAATGTCTTCTTAATACAGTACATGACAATGCTACACATTCATTGATATTTACATAAGCTGTTTTGATTTGACTTTATTGGTCCCACTTCACACGATACTCAGCTCCAAATACACAATTTGAAATATTTCACAACATTCAGAGCAATTTTGTGTAGGGATTTTAAGAAAGTGTATTATTTGTGACATTTGCCCCTGCTTATCCATTTCCAGGAGCAGTTATGGTAAAATCTCCCTTGAACAGAGAACTTGTAGCCACTTATGACATTGCTATCTCCGTATATGATAATGCCAGTGAGGTGGTTGACCGAACAGTCAGTGTCCCTAACGGTAAGTTTTGACTAGTTCCTTGAAATTATTGAACTTTTCTGCAATTTAGATAATTGCAATACAGTGTAATTATCAAGTGAACTACTATTTCCCAAAGGTGCTATATATCCACGTTCCTTTGATGGAATTATTAAGCATATGGTATGAACATGTGCTGCCCTTCTACCTTCAATTTTTTTTGTAAAAGCACTAACACATGCAACAGAAAGGAGTGATAAAGAGCAGTCAGGGTAGAAGAGAGTTAATTCTGTATTGCTCAAAGATGGTTGATTGCTTTGTCTGGGGTGTAGGCTCTTATAGTGCCTGGTCTTTACCAGAGTCTCATGGAAATATCATTGGAGTTGTGCAATGAGCACTCCCCTAGTGTAATTCCTGAGAATTCATTGCTAACAACAAAAGACAACAGGAAACCAGACTGAGACAGAACCATGGAATTCAGATTACATGGAACTGGAAATTCTGACAGCAGCTACTGTAGTTGCCAAGGAACAAAAAAGAGGGGCACATGCAATATACAAAAGACAGAATATACAAGGAGTAAGTGAAAGGAAGTGGGATACAGGACAAGCACTGGTAACTAAATTGGTTGAAAGGATAAAAAAAATTAAGATGCAAATTCTACATGGAACCAGAGATAAGACCTAGGTACCATAGAAAGCGAATAAGCCAGGTGAACCACATAACCACAGAAGTGCCAGAATGATAACCAAGCAGATACAAGAAGACAGGCAATGGGGTTTATTTACTAAAGGCAAACAGACTGTTCACTATGCAAGGGAATTGGCTTAGTAATTGAGGTGACGTTTTGCTGACTTCTGTCATCCAATCAAATGTAAGCAAAAAAGACTGTTTTTATACATTTACCTGCAGGTAATTGGATGAAAATTCATCACATTCACTAAGGTAAGGAAAATCCACTTGCAATGTACAAAACAGTCGAGTTGCCTTTAGTAAATCAACACCAATCGGTCACAGCACAATGCCAGAAAACAACTGTGGAATGGCATTGGGAGCAAACTAGGCTGCAGATAGAAAACAATAGTGAAAAACTAATAAACTAGGCAGGTATCGGAAAGTAGAAGAATAGTTAGGGCACAAGCTTGGTAAGCAGATAAGCAGAAAGGAAACTACAAAAGGAAACCAGAGCATAAAGTAATAGTGGACACAACCACATGACATACCAACTTGGACAGCAGAGGGATAAGTGGTAGATGCAGGATAAAAAACAAAAGAAACAATTTGATATTCAGTATTGTGCTGACAACATGCCTCTTATAGGAAATGCAGGTATATATAGTAAATAAGGGAGAGACTGAGAGCAAAGAGTGACAAAGAGCAAGTTGAGGTAAAAAATGCCTAAACAAATGCTGAAGTAATGCAGTAGTTAAAGAAGAGGCACGCGATAATTCTAACTCATGACCTAATACCAGCTTATATTTTTCAGGCATTCTAATTGTAAGATTTATTATAGAAGTCTATCTGTCCTTTTGCACATTTAATAAAAGTGTCACTCTTTTAATTGAGGTTATCCTATTTGTTTTTTGCAACTTGTGGAAAATCCATCAGAGTATCTATCATCTGGGATTGCAGTGTCTGTAGGCATTGGTTGGAACTGTGAGCTCTGGTGGAGATATTTTGTCACAGGATTCCTTGAATGATAATAATAAGCCAGCATGTCATTCAAGTTGCCACCAAAATATTGAATAGATCTGGCCCACTATAATTGAAATAAAGCTGCAAAAATGAAAACAGCATTATAAAAATTCTATCATAATCTGTAGTGCTAAAAACACTGACATCATATTCATTGGGACAGCACAGTGGCTAAGTGATTAGCACTTCCTCCTAGGAGCACTAGGGTTGTTGGTTCGAATCCCAAAAATGGCACTACCTGACTGGAGTTTGTATATCCTCCCTGTGCCTGCGTGGGTTTCCTCCCATGCTCCAAAGACATGTTTGTAGGTTAATTGGCTACTGTCTGAATTGGCCCTAGTATATGTATGAATGTGAGTTAGGGACCTTAGATTGTAATCTCCTTGAGGGTTAGGGACTGATGTGAATGTACATTATATATGTAAAGTGGTGCATAAATTGATAGCTATATAAGTACCTGTAATAAATAGGTTGAAAAGCTTTTAATTATATATTTCACTGTATGTATTGTTTTAATAAAACCTTTATTCTTTATTTTTATTGATAGATATTATACATAATGCTTAGCGATTCCATCAATCAACATTTTTAGAACAATGTAATAGTATGTACGACCAGGGATTTATTTTAACCACCTATATAATGCCAACATATTTCTGCAACAGTTCACAGGATGTGTTGACCCATTCACATCAATCTCTACTTGTGAAGGGCTTGGTTTATAATATAATGTCTGTAACACACGTACATATACATAAAAAATTAGTAAAGATCCCTATAAGAATATCATCCACTGTGTGAATGAAGAACAAGATCCACCTGCTGCAACACAACCATGTCAACCACTAAAGTCCCAAGGCTCAATTCACCTTCTCATACACAGCTTACTAATGAATGCAACTGTGCATTAATCTGGAAGATAGACTGGAGCTGAACGCCATTGTACTGCCAAGTTGCTGTTTCAGAAGTACTGATAAAGCCCCTTACACAGAGTCCAAATATCAGCCGGTATTGACCAGTTCGATATGAACCGCCCAGCATTCGGCACGTATGTACACCCACCTGTCTGAGAGAACTCAGTCAAATGGCCCTGCTGGAAAACCAGCATCTGATTAGTGCCAACAGCCAATGGCTGCCAGCACTGACCAGAATGTTCTGGCGGGGGGGCAGTCCCCCCTGTCAGAACACAATAGGTCAGTTGGGAGATCACTGTACCAGGGGCGGACTGACCATTTGGAAACTCGGGCACTGCCCGAGGGCCCGGGGTCAGTAGGGGGCCCCATGAGATGCCCCTGGTACATTTTTCATAGGCTTTTTTGAGTTTGGGCAAGGACACAGTGGCCCCATGATCCCCTATTGCCCGGGGGCCCCATGAGTTGTCATTCCGCCCCTGCGCTGTACTAACATCAGATAGTTAGTGCAGCAAGCTCCTCCCAGGTTCTTCAGTTTTTTTTTCTGTTCAGTCACTGGGAAAAAGAACCAATGGTGTTTACCCAGCTTTACTTTTGTACTTCATAGTCAGACAAACATTTGTTCTACTGGGATAGATTTGTTTTAGACAAGCTTCATTGTTTTCCATATTTTTTTGGAAAATATTTGTATTAGTTATATTGTTTTAGTTTATTAGTATTTTTATATGTTGTGAATCGTCTTTAAGGTGCAACTTTTTTTTCTATTTTTTTATTGATGAAAAATAGCTGTTAATGTTTTTATTTATTTATTGCTTACAGCAAAGCTAACAGTGAATGTTCTGGATGTCAATGACAACACTCCCAGATTCCGACCATTCGGAGTTACTGTTTTCTCTCAGAGGATAATTGAAGGTGCCACCCCAGGGACCACACTGTTGTCAGTATCTGCTGTTGACCCAGATAAGGGACCTAATGGTCAGATTACCTACTCTCTCCATAACCTTGTGCCAGCAGGATACGTACAACTTGAGGACAACACAGCAGGTAAGTACATACAAAATGTTACAAATGTTTCCTCCTAGCTTTTATTAACTATATGTACACTATTGATTTCTGTACACTGTTGCTGTATTTGTTGAGAATGAAGCATGCTACTTTTTCTTGTACAGGGAAAATTATAGCAAACCGAACCGTGGATTATGAACAGGTGCAGTGGTTAAACTTCACTGTCAGAGCATCAGATAATGGCTCTCCACGGAGATCTTTCTGAGGTTCCTGTTTGTCTTGAGATTGTGGATATCAATGACAATAATCCAATATTTAGCCAGGCTTTATACCAGGTAAAATAATGATAGTGACCAATGTATAGTCTGTGTTTTAACTATGTTGTGGCACTGTTACTTCCAAAGGCCTGTATACTTTGCATCCTGTTCATAGGCTTGGAATGTTCATTTATTCCATGAAAGTATGTATAGACAAGTCATTTCCATTCTAGGGATTTAGTTGATATCTAAGGGTGAAATAACCCACACATCAGCAAAGGCTTCATTGTTTCCATACCCTGCATATACCCTACACAGACCCCAGTACAGCCATTATTCTAGCTCAGACTTTACAGTATGTACTATTTATGGAGAATTAGATAAAGGTGAGTAATGGCCTAAGTTACAGGATAGTGATGTTTGCCATGTATAGGAAAGGCAACTCCATATTAATTTCTTACATCTCTATGGCGATTAATCATTTGTGATTAGAGAAAAGTATATCAGAAAAGTATATCAGATGCGTGTGCGAGCTTTGCAGTGAATCGGGTATATTTACCACTGGAGGTATCTGTCTATAGTTCTGATTTGTTGACCAGTACATATAGGTTTTCCCCCTTTTTAACCTTCCTATATTGCTTTTGGAACAGAGCAATTTTTACAAATCCGCTATAAGCCTATTTGGGCTTCTTGCCATTATTACATATAATACCATAGTAATACATATATCATTTTTGGGGACAAAAGGGACTTCTTTTGGCAGTGTTTTCTTTTGAAGGTCTTCACTGGTTAAAAGCAAGCAATAGGGTTGCAGCACTTGTGTATGCCCTTATTACCTACCAGCTGCTAAGGGACATATGGGTTGATATCAGATGAGAAATTGTCCACACACAACCCCCTTGTCTATGGAAACACAAGTCTAGTTTATATTTTATGGGAAGAAGGCCATTTTTTGCCTATGGGGAATACATATACTTGTTGTACATATTTCCATGCAAACATAGACAGTGCAAAAAAATATAAAGAAAAAATGTACAATTAAAAACAATATATCATACTAAATGTTTTGCATTCTTATGAGACAACAAATTAAACTATAGGCTCCTTTTCACATTTTCAATATCCTTATTTTGCTTTTTTATGTACAGTCAGGTTTTTTTTTTTAATTTTTGTTATAATATATGTTTGTTGGAGCAATAGTCCAATCTCAGTACCTTATCTCTTAACAGAAGGCTCAGTCTGAGCTTTTGGGCAAACCACACCATTAAAACAGGAAATGTCTAATGTGATGTCGTGTTAGCAAACCCATAATGCTCCGAGAATCCTTAGGCATGCAGTATTTATTTGAAACATGAAACATGAAATGTTGCATATAGACAGTGAAAAAAAATAGATGGAAAAGTGTTTAAAACATAAAAAAGCAACAAAAATTACATTAACCAAACACAATTATATTTTCCAGTAGGCAATTTAAAAAGCTAAACAAAAAAAAGGAAAAATACTGGCAGGCTGATGTGTTAGAATTCAGTCGAATAAAGGAGAAGTAGATTGTGCAGACTGTCAGTAGATTATATTTTTGATTATTCTTTCATCGCTACTTATGCAGAACGTAATGATATCTTTCAAAGTTTAAATTTTTGTTTTAAAAGCTTTATGTCAGTTAAGGGCAATAACTGAAATATCCTGCAAGAGATTACCGTGAAGACTGGTAAAAATAAAACAGCACCTAAAGAGAAAGAATCCAGTAAAGGAAATGTAGAGGTGAAGACAGGATGTAGTACTTATATATTTTCAGACGTGGGCAGGAAGTAAATAATAATGTCAGTAGGTCGTGAAATTTTACAAATGTTTCCAAATATTTAAGCATTTTTCAAAAGATAGCATAAAATGTATCAAAGACATGCTTTGTTGAAACCACAGAAATTTGCATTTATCACACAAAACCAAACTGTTTTAAAATATGTCAATTCTTAAAAAAATGTAAAAAAATGTAAAAAAAGTAATATAAAGTTAACCTATAATCTACTGTGGTTAAATGTACACTGCAGTCAAGAAGTGACAATAAAGCCATGCGATGCATCTACTAAATGCAAACCTGCTCATGGTTTCATTTTGGCACAGCTGTAGTGGGGACCTTTCTGGGAATCACATTTGAAAAATTTGGAGAGGTTTTCCCAAATAAAGCCATGGTAGGATTATTATTGTCCCTCACACAAGGTTTGTTGTGACAAAGGACCAATACTAAGAACTTAAATATATACCGTAGTAGGGGCACTTCAGGAAACACTGCTGAAACCTTTTGCTGTGCTGATCATTTTAGAATGAACCATTTGTAAAATAACATAGCAACTTTAAAGTGGAACTGTTGTCAGCAATAAAAGTTTCTCCAAAATGGTAGCTCACTTTTCCATGTTTACAGGGTGCTATGGCATTTTCCCCAAAAATCTGCCCAATAGGCACTCTTGGCAACATTGAACATTGCGCAAATACCTAGATAGGTCCATCACAGATATGAGTAAACATTTACATGCATCCTCAAAGTTTATCCCCAAAAATGGTTTATCCTTTGGCATGTAGCAGCCACATTATCTAATAAAATTTTATTGGCACAGGTAGACTGAACTATCTGGGGGTTAGGGAGCTCTGTTTTCATTGTATATGTATTTTTTTTTTACTTTACTCTTGTGTTTGCTCATCCTGTTATTTTCAGAATGATACCCTTGGGAGTTAAGACTCAGGTGCTAAGCGTTAAGTACAGTTGTGTTCAAAATAATAGCAGTCAGACATCACTAACCTGATCAATCACTGTTTTTGGTAGAAATTATATTTCTACATGGCAAATAATTTACTAGCAGGTGTAGTAGAGTAATAGAAATCCAACAGACCCAACAGTCATGCATGCTGCAGATTCTGTGTAATTGAATCACTAATTGAAAGGGCATGTTCAAAATAATAGCAGTGTGGAGTTCTATTAGTGAGGTCATTCATTCTTTGAAAAACAGGTGGCAATTATTGCCCTTATTTAAGGAAGGAAGGCAGAAAATGTTGTACATGCTGGTTACAGTGCATTTCTCTCTGAAATTCAGAGGAAAATGGGTCGTTCCAGACATTGTTCAGAAGAATAACGTACCTTGATTTAAAAGTTGATTGGAGAGGGGAATGCATATAAAGAAGTGCAGAAAATGATAGGCTGCTCAGCTAAAGTGATCGCAAATGCTTTAAAATGGCAACAAAAACCTGAAAGACGTGGAAGAAAGCTAAAAACTAGCATTCGAATGGATAGAGGAATAGCCAAAATGGCAACAATCAGCTCCAGGAAGATCAAAGAAGGTCTAAAGTTACCTGTGAGTACTGTTACAATTAGAAGACGCCTATGTGAAGCCAAGCTATCTGCAAGAAGCCCCCGCAAAGTCCCACTGTTGAAAAAAAGACATTTGCTGAAGAGGTTACAATTTGCCAAAGAGCACATTGACTGGCCTAAAGAGAAATGGCGCAACATTTTGTGGACTGATGAAAGTACGATTGTTCTTTTTGGGTCTAGTGGCCGGAGACAGTTTGTCAGATGACCTACAAACACTGAATTCAAGTCACAGTACACTGTGAAGACAGTGAAGCATGGTGGCGAAAGCATCATGATATGGGGATGTTTCTCATACTACGGTGTTGGGCCTATTTATCGCATACCAGGGATCATGGATCAGTTTGAATACATCAGAATACTTGAAGAGGTCATGCTGCCTTATGCTGAAGAGGAAATGCCCTTGAATTGAAATGGGTGTTCCAACAAGACAACGACCCCAAACACACCAGTAAATGTGCAACATCTTGGTTCCAGACCAACAAGATTGACGTTATGGAGTGGCCAGCCCAATCCCCGGATCTTAATCCAATAGAAAACTTGTGGGGTGACATCAAAAATGCAGTTTCTGAGGCAAAACCAAGAAATAGAGACGAACTGTGGAACGTAGTCCAATCATCCTGGGCTGGAATACCTGTTCACAGGTGCCAGAAGTTGGTTGACTCCATGCAACACAAATGTACAGCAGTTCTCAGAAACAGTGCTTATACAACTAAATATTCATTAAGTGATTCAAAGGAAAGCAAAATCTTTACACATTTTTCAGTTTATATAGTGAATGTTTGAGTTTGTAAAGAAGAATACAAATACTGCTATTTTTTTGAACAGTCTAATATTCACTTTTCTTCAATTTGTTTAGAGGAACAACACAAATTTGATATATTTTTCTTCATGTTTTGATTTGGAATAGAATGTGTAGTGTTCCCAATGCATTTGTGTGTATGGAAATAAAAGCTATTAGAAGGATTTTGAGCTTTATTCACTTTTTTCAACACACTGCTATTATTTTGAACACAACTGTATGTAGATAGCTTTAAATGTTCTCTGGCTAATTTTAAAGCACTTTGGTTTCTTAATTAGAGCAGCACGGCATTGATGAGGTCATGGCTTCTCGCTCTATGACTGCTCTGATACAGTTTGGTCTGCTTTACAATCACATCTCCATAAAACACAAATGGTTACCTAACCTAAAAAATGGTTACCTATCCCACTTGGATATTCAGTGCTTTTGCTGTATATGCTGGACTCATCTTTTGGTCTTTGCATCTAATAACTTTTTTTTTGTGTCTTCCAGAAACCAGTATTTGAGGACATTCAACATGGTTCTACAGTCTTGCAGATAAAAGCCACTGATGCAGACTCTGGGCGGTTTGCTCTTATTCAATATAGCCTTGTGGATGGAGAGGGCAAGTTTGGAATAAACCCTACAACAGTACGTGTTGTAACTCCATTAGGAGAAAACCTCAGTCTTTACAAACTGTTCTTTCATTATGACTTTTTCCCTCCCTGAAAACAGATTGGATTTGAGGTTATATGAGGTGCCAAAGGTTTCAAAATCTTAGCTCTCACTTTTAAAGCCCAACACCAGGCAAAGCTTGTTTTTAGTTTTGTATACAATGGAAAAAGGGTAGAATCTCTGTCAGATTTTTACTGTTCACAGTCCATATTCCCATAGAATAGATTTCCTTGTGTAATTTTTTTTATATAAAATACATTTATTAGAAATACTGCTACAGGGCGGCACGGGTGTACGAAATCACGTATATATCCATGATTTCGCATTTTACAGGTAGGGGGTGCATGTGTGACGTACGTGCGTCCTACCTGCGCCACCATTCATGGCGGCAGTTGTCAATCACCGGGTGTCAGCCGGTGATTACCCACCAGCGCCCAGTGATTACCGAGCATCTCCAACAGGGAGGACTGTTTTGTTTACTAACAGTTCTCCTCGGGAGAACTGTTAGTAAACCAATTAATTTACATGTATTGGGATTTTTTAACAAAGACATGTAGCAGAATACATTTTGGCCAAAATTTATGATGAAATTTGATTTTTCAAATTTTTTTACTGGACATGTTTGAAAGTAGCTAGCTAAAGAGCAAGCCTGCAAGTCTGCCCTAAAGCAAGTGGCTTGCTATGGTGGCAGACACAGAAAAGGAGGAGCCGAGAGCATTGGCGAGGGACTCCAGAAGAGGAGCCGAGGTTTGGCGAGGGGGCTGGGGCTGGTCTGTGCAATACCATTACACAGAGCATGTGAGTATAACATGTTCACTATTTTAATTTAAAAAATGCCTTTGGAAGCACTGTAATAAAGACTACCTTCCCTTCAGTTATTTGCAGCAAATGTTCCAGGAATGCTTTTTTGCCCCCTTTCTCTTGGATAAACTATTCCTAATGCTAGCATCCTTACACTATCATTTATACTCACCATCTCTTTAGATGTGATTAACCCTTTGGGAGCATCTCACCAAAAATAAAAATTTTGTTGCAGAGGATGCCTAAAATTTGGCTTGTATCTTCGTGCAGACTTCTGGGAAAATCAGTGAGCCAATCACAAAAGAAGGAAATTACATTTCTGGGAGTGTTCCTCCAGGTTGCTATACTGCATTGAATTTTACAGAAAATGACAGAACTGCAGATTGAAAAGGAAACACATTTTTAAAAAACATTCATTTACAGTATGGCTTGCGTAGCAATTGTATACGCTATATTTTTTTTTAATTTTCTATTTTTTTCCCACAAAAGTGGAGTTACCTTTTAAGGGTGTCATTTTCTAAACTAGACCAGTAGGTAAGGTAGTAAAAATGTCAACTGGGTATATTTAATTTGTTGAAACATGTAGAGGCCAACCTCATCCTACTATTCTCTTAGACTGGAGCAATTCAATTAACTACCTTGCTCTGTGCTAAGTATAGCCCCATAGATGCAATGCACTTACTTCTCTCATGTACAAAGCAGAAGGGTAGAAATTCTAACTCTATATGTATTGTGTGTAACAACAGGGAGACATATACATCCTTTCCCCACTGGACAGAGAGAAGAAGGATTACTATACTCTTACAGCCATTGCCAGAGACAATCCTGGAGACATTGCTAGCAACCGCCGAGAGAACTCTGTGCAGGTAATATTACAAATTATTGCTACTGGATAGAATAAACATTATAATGTACAAATGTCTTATATTATTACTATAGATCACAATGTTGTGGATATAGAAGATGGCAGTGTAAATGTAAATATATTTGCTAGGATAATAAGATAAATGTGCAATGTGCATTTTTCCCGCCTAAGGGAGGATAGTAATATACCTCCTAGCAAAAAATGCAAATATAAAAAAGTGTCCTTCATGCACTTGCTTCATTCCCTTATCTCTTTTCCTTATGGTTAAGCCCTGCTGTATCTAAATGAATGCACAGTAATATCAGATTTTACTTGAAACTGAAACTGTGGCTCCTGATCCATCCTATCACTCAAATGATCTGCCATATTGTCCTATTGTTTAGTATTCCTGATGAATTTCATGGATACTCACATAGTAAATAAATGAATGACTCCTACATGTATTAGTAAGATTACTGTGCATAACAAAATGTTTATTCCATCTAAAGTCTACGGATGTATCCATAATATATGGATATACAGTTAGGTCCATATATATTTGGACACAGGCACAATTTTAGATTTTTTTTCAGGTATTTACTAAAACATAGTCAAGCTATAGTTATATAATGGATATGGGCTGAAAGTGCACACACGCTCAGGTTTAATTTGAGGGTATGTACATCCAAATTGGAGGAAGGGTTTAAAATTACAGCTCTTAAGGCTGGCCATACACTATACAATTTTCTGTCCAATTTCTGCCCAATTCCTTTAGATTTACCATCAACTTTGTAGTGCAAGGGCCTGCCTAATTGGATACAATTGAAAGTGTTGTTAGGTTTGACCTCCTATTATATGGTTTTTGGTAACTCTAAACCAAAAATCTCGAGAAAATTGTACGTGTATTGCCAGCCTAAGAGTAGTCATCCCCCTTTTTTCAAGGGACCAAAAGTAATTGGAAAATTGAATCAAAATCAATTTCATGGCCAGGTGTGGGCTACTCCTTCATTATTTCTTCATCAGTTAAGCAGGTAAAAGGTCTGGAGTTGATTCTAAGTGTGGTATTTGCATTTGGAATCTATTACTGTGAACCTACATCATGCGTTCAAAGGAGAGATGTCCATGCAAGTGAAACAAGCCATTGTAAGGCTTCAAAAACAAAACAAATCCATCACAGAGATAGCAGCAACATTAAGAGTGGCCAAATCAACAGTTTGATACATTCTGAGGAAAGAAGAATGCATTGGTGAGCTCCGCAACATATAAAGGCATGGATGACTAAGGAAGACAAGAGTGGTGGATGATCATATGATCCTCTCTATGGTAAAGAAAAACTCATTCACAACATCTAGACAAGTGAAGGACACTCTCCAGGAGGTGGGCGTATCATTGTCAAAAGTCTGCAATCAAGAGAAGATTTCACAAGAGCAAATACAGAATGTTCACCACAAGGTGCAAACCATTCATAAGCCTGAAGAACAGAAAAGTAAGATTAGACTTTGCCAAAAAACATCTAAAAAAGCCAGACCAGTTCTGGAAAAGCATTCTTTGGATGAATGAAACTAAGATTAATCTGTACCAGAATGACGGGAAGAAAAAATGTGGAGAAGGCTTGGAACAGCTCATGATCCAAAGCAACACAACGTCATCTGTAAAACATGGTGGAGGCAATGTGATGTCATGGGCATGCATAGCTTCCAGTGGCACTGGGCCATTGGTGGTTACTGATGATGTGACAGAAGCAGCCAGATGAATTCTGCAGTGTTTACAGATATACTGTCAGCTCAGATTAAGCCAAATGCAGCAAAGTTGATAGACGGCGCTTCACAGTACAGATGGACAATGATCCAAAGCACACTGCAAAAACAGCCCAGGAGCTTTTGAAGGAAAAGAAGTGGAATATTCTGCAATGGCCGAGTCAATCACCTGATCTCAACCCAATTGAGCATGCATTTCACTTGCTGAAGGCAAAACTAAAGGCAGAAAGACCCACAAACAAAGAAGAACTGAAGACAGCTGCAGTTACAGCCTGGTAAAGCATCAGAAAGGAGGAAACCCAGTCTTTGGTAAGGTCCATGGGTTCCAGACGAGACTTCAGGCAGTCATTGCCAGTAAAGGATTTGCAACAAAATATTAAAAATGAACATTTTATTTATGATTATATTAATTTGTCCAATAACATTTGAGCCCCTGAAAATGGAGGGACTGTGTATTAAAATGGTTGCAGTTCCTAAAATTTGTACTTGATATTTATGTTCAACCCCTTGAACTTAAGCTGAAAGTCTGCACTTCAAATTAATTTGAATTGTTTTGTTTTAATTTATTCTGGTGGCATACAGAGCAAAAGGTATGAAAAGTGTGCCTGTGTCCAAATATATATGGACCTAACTGTATATGTGAACTATAGGATTTTAGAAATTTAACAGAGCCAGCGCAGTTTGGCTTGGGACTGGTGTAAATCAGCAGGGGAAGCATCAGGACAATGAGGCGATATTTTGGGCTAAAGCTTTAAGTGATAGTTTAGTTTTTGGAGTTAACTAAGCTGAGGCTCAGCTTAACCAGGCCATACATGGGTCGAATTCCGACCGATTTTTTAATCAAAAACGTAATTCGTTCTGTAATCCGATGGTGCTACCAATGATTTTGAAAATCAGACATTTTTCACAAATTTTCCAACATGCCCAATAAACAAAATGGGGATGAACGACGAAAATCAGCCGGTGCCATTGCCCCACTAACAAAGCGAAAATCAGTCGATTATTCTTAGGTCTGATTTTCGAACAGAAATCGACCCATGTATGGCCGGCCTTAGGGTCAGGCGTTAGGGGGTTATGTTTAAAATACACCCGTGGGAAATATTGGAGATGCCATTGATGGCCCCCTTTGTGAAAATGTTTGCTGTTTGACTGTGTGGCATTATTATTTATAAGTAACAGACCCAGAACAAGTAAGCAGCAAATGAAAGGTTTAGAAAAGTCATAATTCCTATCAATGGCAGCCGATGCATTCCTCTTATGACAAGTTTTGTTTAAGGGTTGAGGTTGTGGGACAGCGATAAAATAAGTGTTGGGGGTAAGAGTTGAGGGTAAATTAAAAGTGTTATTTATGGGGTTGGAGTTCTCTTTAATGGTTAGTGTATTTTAAAGAAGAAATCTGGACACAATTTTTTATTTTTCCATGCAGTGGAGCTGTGCCCGCACTGCATAGCTTAAATGCTCATTTTTGTCTAGGGTAAGGGCTCAGAAAGTAAAGATATACTTACCTAATCTGCCTATCCTCTGAGCGAAAGAGCAGTCCTCGCCACTCCTGCCCCCCTGAATGCTAGTAATCTTGTGAATGGGCTGTTCCTGACGTCATCATGCCCACAGATCAGCTCCAGACGTGAGGGCGGCAGCAACAGTCCAGCGCAGTTTTTCAGAGGATTGGAAGAATTTGTAAGTATAGCTTTACCCTGAGCCCCCAGACAAAATGAGCACTTAACCCCTGCAGTGTTGGCAAAGACCCACTGCATGGGAAAATAACCAGAGTTAACCAGAGTTCTGCTTTAAGATCTAAGGGTTAACTTTCAGAGTTAGGTTCATGGTTAGGTTTTAGTGGCATGGGGAAGTTAAGAGCTGAGGGACAGGGTAGGGAGAGGGGCATGTGTTTTCAGGATCAGGATAAATGTTAAGGTTAGGTAACATGGAGGAGGGAAAGATTGCTTACTGTGAAATTTCTGTTTGTTTTTGATGCTAAAATACAGTGCAGTTGATATCATGAACTAAACTACAGTATCATTTGAGTGAGTTGGGGGGGGGGGCAGGTTTCATGATGGGGTTTGGAAAATTTGGAGATGGCTCGTGAATGAACCCTTCATTAACCAAATAGGTCTAAGGCTACACACACCTAACAATTGTTTCATTACAGTTTATATCTGCCCTGATGGTGCGATAGAATTATTAGAGAACATAAATGGAATGCGTGATATTTTATATCATTGTAATTAAAAAAAGAAATTACACTTAGTGTCTGAGTTTACACTGACTTCTACAGAGAAGATCTCAAAGAACTACAATTACAAACAAAACAATTGGATCAGGTCTAATGAACAATGTTCTAACCAGGGGCGGACTGACAACTCGGGGCCCCCGGGCAATAAGGGATCATGGGGCCCCTGTGTCCTTGCCCAAACTCAAAAAAGCCTATGAAAAAGGTACCAGGGGCATCTCATGGGGCCCCCTACTGACCCCGGGGCCCTCGGGCAGTGCCCGAGTTTTCCGAATGGTCAGTCCGCCCCTGGTTCTAACCCATTCAGTTTTTTTTTTGTGTTAGTTACATATTGCATTCTTTATATTCTTTGTGCCATGAAGTGAATGTTACTTGCCTTACTGACACAGACTCTTTACTTTCTTATGGCCTCAATTACAAGGTACTTATTACAGTCCTGGATGTTAATGACTGCAGACCCGCAGTTCTCTAAAAGCCAGTTCAGTACCAGCGTGTATGAGAATGAACCAGAGGGCACATCTGTCATCACTATGTCAGCCACAGACTTGGACGAGGGTGACAATGGTGTTGTGACGTATAATCTGCAGGGCCCTGGTGCTGGTATGTTATATGTTTTGTTTTTTTTTTCCTATGTGACGTGAATGCGTAGAGACAATGTTACAGTATAAACGTTTGGAAATGTTGTAATTTCCATGTTTGGAAATGTCTTATTGTGTTGCACAACTCCTTTATATGCAAAAGAAACCACTCCTTCTGCTTTTTCCCACTATTGTGGTAGGCAGAATATACAGTAAACAGATCCTTTTAACTTTAAACCCTTCCTAATCAAATGCAATAGAAGCTACTACTACTCTCCTACTTCCTACATCAGATGTCTTCTCAAACTGGAATTCCGTCACTTGGAGACTTGTGGTTTAGGGTTGTGCAAAACTACTCTGAGACTGTGGGGCAAGTGGTAAGCTCTCAGTGGTGGGTTTAGTGTGTCTCTGGGTATTTCAGATCTCCAATCATGCTAACAATGTTGGACACCACTGGAGGAACAGCCTGGACAACCACCACAATTTGTCATAACCGTATGAGTAAAATACTTTCCCACTCTCCTGCTGAAACTTTGAAGAATCTATGATCAAAAATAAAAAAAACTCTCTAGCCACCTTAAGGGCTGAAACACCCTTTTTCGATTGTGGGCATTACACGCATTCATTACCACATTATGTGTGTTAGCACAATGTAGTGCCATTTATTTTGCACTAAGGGCTCTTCAGAATGCGATCCTGCTGCCTTTTGAATGTCAGTTTTTTTGGGGTTTTTTTTTTGGGGGGGTGTTCTTAACTGCAAGGGTGATTTTGAATTAAAAAATGTAAGCCAAGCGTTTGACTTGTGGTTGTGGTGCACTTGTTCTTAATGGGAATATTGGGCAGGTGGTGAATTAAAATTACCATAGCCACAAAACAAAGCATCATGGCCATGGCATGTGTACAGCCTCGTCTGGCTGCACTATTAGAATTTAGTTAGGCAGTTGGGGGGAAGTAAAACTGCAGCTCACCCACCTATTTTTAACTACCTCTGTCTGCCTGTGTGAAAGAGCCCTAAGGAAATACAGTACTAACTTATTTGCGTTACATCACATCACAATGGATGGTAACACACTATCATGCAAAGGGTATGCTATGTTGGAAAAATGGTGCATGTCCATTTTTTATACCATTCGGTGCATTGGCTGACCTACAACACCTATGTTTTACCTATCCCAGACTGTCTGGAAGTTGAAAACAAGTGAGTAGAATCTGTGCAGTCATGTGTTAAGTCAGTGGTTTTATCTTCTACTTGTCCAAAGCTTGGGAAAATTTCCACCACTAACATGATGGCTTCTGGCGAGAATTTTTGATTGGACGCATAATCCAAAAGGGAAAAGCTGGTTAAAATTGAAAACGTACTTAGTGGAACTAATTTGATCAGGATCATATGGGTGCCTACACAGTATATCCTAGATTGTAAGCTCGAAAGAGCAGGGCCCTCGAACCCCTCGTGTATTGTATTGTACTATTTTGTCTCATGTTCTGTCCCCCCCGCTATTGTACAGCGCTGAGCAAACCCTTTGTCGCTATATATATACTGTATAATAATAATAATATAGAGATTAGTAAATAGCACAAGTTTGTACACTTTAAATGTTTTAGGAGTTTGGGATATGCTGCACAAACAGAAGGGATAGGAATTTAATTCACTGAATTAATGCCACTAGGGGATACAGAGTTTTTTCCCTCCGGGTAGGGAGGGTATCACAGGAAAGTGGATTAAGAAGGAGGATGTACAATTAAGGGATATAATGGTGGGGGAGGAAATGGGGTCACTTAAGGATTTGGAAAAGAAAAAAGGGAGAAGTTTTCACAGTAATGGATGAGTGGCGTTATTATCAATTGAAACACTTTGTAGGGAAGCTGCCGAAACCCTTGAGAACCAGAAAGGATTGGCACCCGTTTGAAAGGTTATTGGTAACACGGGGAGATGGGAAACACGGAATTGCTAAAATATATAAGATTCTCACTGAAATGGACACAAATATAAGGCCAATGTTTATAGGAAAATGGGAAAGGGACATGGGTGTAATAATAGATGAGGAAAAACAGAAGAAAATATATAGATTCATTCATGAAAATATAAGTATGCAGGAGGTGGAAAGTAAGTATAAACGTTTAGTAAGCTGGTACATTACACCAAATGTGGCACACAAGTTGAGTGGGGAGAATTCACCATTGTGTTGGCAGGGTTGTGGAGGGAGAGGCACTATGTATCACATATGGTGGGAGTGTCCAAAAATACAAGAATTTTGGGAGAAAATAGTGCACCTGATTCGGAAGATTACTGAAGTTGATGTTATATTAGATCCAGAGATTTGTCTTTTTCACAGTACAGAGTTATCAGTGAATAAATATAAGGAATCTGGTATATGGTATTATTTAAATGCATCAAAGGATCTGATACCCAAGTTCTGGTGAGATGGGAGGTGCCGAAAGTAGGGGATTGGGCAAATAGAGTGGACCAGATATGTAGGATGGAGAAACTTTACCATATGAATGAAGATAGGATGGGAGAGATATTATGTGAGATGGAACAAATGGGAAGAATTTAAGTTAATGGGGAATATATGGGGGTGTAATGTAAAATAATATGAGTATACCTCTCTCTTCTCTGTGGAGGATGTGGGGGTCCCAGGAAAAGTAGGAAAACACAGAGCGGGGGGGGGGGAGTGTGGGGGGGGGGGGCGGAGGGGGGTGGGGGGGTAGATAGGAGGTCGGGGGGGGGGGGTTAGGGGGAGTAGGGAAAATTAGGGAAATGATAATTATACTATAAATGTGTTCATGTTTTTAATAGAATAAGGTTGTATAATTTATTTGTTTGAAAATCAATAAATATTTAAATAAAAAAAAACAAAAAAAAACCATGATGGCTTCTGGAGCTAGAGATGATTTAGAATTCTGCCAAAATTTTTATGTCAAGGCAAGACAACTTTAATTTGCCATTAAACATGAGACCAATGTTTTGTGTTCTAGAGAGTGAAAAAATCCTTATGTACTGCATTTGATAGACACTCAAAGCAAGAGCAGTTGTGACTGTTTTCCACTAATGCCATGATTGTTTCAGTTATGCTGGAGTCAGCAAAGGTCATTAAACAGAACTAATAAGCTTACATTATGAAAAGCCAGTAAAGATTTCCATATATTCAGTATGTTTTAGTTTTTCAATACTGTATCCACATATTTGCACATTCTGGTATGTGTAAAATACATAATAAAAACTATATTTGTAATGTTTCCTTAGATGCCTTCCTCATTGATATAAACTCTGGACTAATAACCTCTCGAAGACTTCTACAATCATTTGAAAGATTTAATTTGACAGTTGTAGCCACTGACAAAGGCAGACCTCCTCTGTGGGGGACGACTATGCTAAAAGTGGATGTAATCGATGTCAATGACAATCGGCCTGTATTTGTTCGACCACCTAATGGCACCATTCTACATATAAAAGAGGTAAGTAGTAAACTCTTGGAAGAATAAACTTTGTTTTGTTTTAATAACATTGGATCACATAGCAGATGAAAAGACATGACCTATTCAATATTAGTACGGCCATGAATTTGCTCGTCAGCTCCTCTGTACTTTCCTAACATTTTGAGATAAGCTCTAGGCAAAAACAAATTAGAGTTAATTATTTACATTACAGCATATCCTGGCAAAAATTTATCCATGAATACATCTTAAGCTGGTTCCGTGCTTCAATGCCCTGAAAAGGGAAACCATTTTTTTTTCTGTCTGATAAGGTTTCCATTTCCTGTGATAGAGACCAGTCGCCATTACCCACTTTCTATATGCAAGGTGATTAGTCTCCTTACCACTCCCTTAGTAGTTTTAGTGGGGGATTGTGATAAATAAATACAATAAAGAATGTAGCGCTACTCCCAAAAGATATATGCACACATAAAATAAATAAAAAATGTGAAATCACAAAATTTCATAAAAAATATTTCATAAAAAATATATATATATATAAATGTGACAGTGATATCAATTAATATTAATTAGTGCCCATAAAATAAATAACTCAAAACATGTGAAAAAAAACATTTCCATATATATATGTATATATAACACGCATACATATATATATATATAATATTTTATATCTCTAATCACACGTGCCTCTTGTGAAGTGAAATGACCATTAAAATGGTACAAACAACAGTGCTCTCAAAGTCCAATAAATGTTGCTGGTGACCAAAAAAAACCAGTGCTTTCCAATAACTACTGTTAGTGACCATAAACAGAACTCATGTAGATCTCTGAGGGCATGTAAATCTGACAATCCGACCACCATCTGGATAAGCCTCTCACCTCATCACTTCGACCCTTGCGGGTCAAAGAGCTTTTGTGGATCCCCCTCACGGATCCTCCAAGATAGCTATCACTCCAAAGGTTGCTCTCTCAGAAATAAATATTCCCCCTCTGGCTCTTCTCCAGGAAAGTATTGCAGCATCAATTCCGTGTCTCTCACACACTCTTCAGCAGCTCTTCTTTCCCCTGGACGTCCTTCCAGTCTGATGTCCACGTGCCTCCTGCCTGCATACTGTTGTAGCTTAGCTGGGACCTCTGCTTCAATCTGGGGGATTGTTGACATCACGCAAAAAAAACGAGTGGGAGCTAGAGAAGTGCATACATGCTCTCCCTGACCAGCAACCTTTTTGGCCACCTCTATGTCTGTGGACCATTTCTCATGGCTCCAACAGCTGACAGATCATTTAACTCCCTGTGGACAACACAACTATGGAATGAGGGTCATGGGTGAAAAATAAACAAGATGCGGGGTGCTGCCTGGAAATAGGTTTCAAAACCTAACCTTTCCCCTTGCTCCTCAACACTGTCTTTGTTACAAACACATATATATATAAATATATATATATATATATATATATATATACACCATTTTCATGGGTCTTCAGGTAGACTAAGTGAGATCATTGGACTTGGGACAGTCCTGGGAAGTAAGGAGATTACTGCAGCAAAAGCTGTCTGAAGTGTTTTGTACTTGGTGGAGTGAGTCATGTAACAAAGTAGAGGATTGTGGGAGGCACATATGCAAACTGTTGTAATTCCTACACCCACGTTCAACTGATTTGGATGTACAGTGGGGATCGAAAGTTTGGGCACCCCAGCTAAAAATTTGTATAATGTGCATAAAGAAGCCAAGGAAAGATGGAAAAAGCTCCAAAAGGCATCAAATTACAGATTAGACATTCTTATAATATGTCAACAAAAGTTAGATTTTATTTCCATCATTTACACTTTCAAAATAACAGAAAACAAAAAAATTGCGTCTGCAAAAGTTTGGGCACCCTGCTCAGAATTTATAGCATGCACTGCCCCCCTTTGCAAAGCTGAGATCTGCCAGTGTCATGGATTGTTCTCAATCATCGTCTGGGAAGACCAGGGTGATGTCAATCTCAAAGGTTTTAAATGCCCAGACTCATCTGACCTTGCCCCCAACAATCACACCATGGGTTCTTTGTTGTCTAGAAAACTGAAACTGAAAATAGTTGAACGCTCACAAAGCTGGAGAAGGCTATAAGAAGATAGCAAAGCGTTTTCAGATGTCAATATCCTCTGTTGGGAATGTAATTAAGAATGGCAGTCATCAGGAACAGTGGAAGTTAAAGCAAGATCTGGAAGACCAAGAAAAATATCAGACAGAAACAGCTCGCAGGATTGTGAGAAAAACAATTCAAAACCCACGTTTGACTGCACGATCCTCCAGAAAGATCAGGCAGACAATGGAGTTGTGGTATAACTATTCCACTATAAAGAGATACTTGTACAAATATGGTCTTCATGGAAGAGTCATCAAAAGAAAACCTCTTCTAAAACAAAAAACTTACGTCCTCACCACAAAAATCATCGTTTGAACTTTGCAAATGAACATATAGACAAGCCTGATGCATTTTGGAAACAAGTTCTGTGGACCGATGAGGTTAAAATTGAACTTTTTTGGCCGGGAATGAGCAAAGGTACGTTTGGAGAAGAAGGGGCACAGAATTTAATGAAAAGAACCTCTGTCAACTGTTAAGCATGGGGTTGGATCAATCATTCTTTGGGTTGTGTTGCAGCCAGTGGCACAGGGAACATCTCTCACGAGTAGAAGGAAAAATGGATTCAATAAAATTTCAGCAAATTTGATGGTAACTTGATGCCATCTGTGAAAAAGCTGAAGTTAAAGAGAGGATGGCTTCTACAAATGGATAATGATCCTAAACACACCTTGAAATCCACGGGGGATTACATCAATGGCGTAAACTGAAGGTTTCGCCATGGCCTTCATAATCTCCTGACCTCAACATAATTGAAAATCTATGGATAGACCTTAAAAGAGCAGTGCGTGACAGACAGCCCAGAAATCTCAAAGAACTGGAAGACGTTTGTAAGGAAGAATGGGCAAAGATACCTCAAACAAGAATTGAAAGACTCTTGGCTGGCTACAAAAAGCGTTTACAAGCTGTGATACTTGCCAAAGGGGGCAGTACAAGATATTAAACTCTGCAGGTGCCCAAACTTTTGCAGACGCCATTTTTTTGTTTTCTGTTATTTTGAAAGTGTAAATGATGGAAATAAAATCTAAATTTTGTTGACATATTATAAAATGTCTAAACTACTAATTTGATGCCTTTTGGAGATTTTTCCATCTTTCCTTGGCTTCTTTATGCACATTAATACAAATTTTTAGCTGGGGTGCCCAAACTTTCGATCCCCACTGTAAATACCCTCAAATTAAAGCTGACAGTCTGCAGTTAAAGCACAACATCTTGTTCGTTTCATTTCAAATCCATTGTGGTGGTGTATAGAGCCAAAAATTTCAGAATTGTGTCGATGTCCCAATATTTATGGACCTGACTGTATTATTCATTAAAAGTAATCCATTCAGGAATTATTTGATTTATTTTTTGATCCACCTAAATTAATATAAATAATGTACTGTAAAGAGCATGTGAGATAAAGAGGCTTGTTATATCAGAACCACAAGTAATACAGCTTATTTATAAAATATTTACTGAAAGGAAAGCCTCTTGGTTTGTATGAATTGTATCCGTGCACATACAAACATATTCAGTTGGACATTGCTAAGGCTGATGAAGGAAGGCAATGCTGGTAAAGCTTAGAAACTGTTCAGGAACCCCTCTGTTTCCTAAACCTAGGTCAGGTATCTTCCCCATCGTTATTTATATTGTCAGGGTAAATCCTATACAAATTTAAAAAGGTAGACATTTATGATCTGATCTCCCAGGATTGTTTGAATTGTAAGTTTGTCACCCAGTTGTGCTGAAGTCATTTGTATCATGTGAAAGCCTAACTCTGCATTCTGGCAACAAACACATCTATGTGCACCTGATTGTATCCATGTATCAGTACAACTGTGTCAGAAAGTTTACTTTGCTTATCCCAGAAGCCATGAAAAGCTCTTACAGAGACCGGGCTCCTGGCTGAATTGTAGCTCTGTCATCCTGGGATAGCAGACTTCGTCTTGTCTCCCAAAGTATGTTATAGAATAGAGTTTGAAGGTAAAGTAAGTGTGGTTAATGTTACAGATAGGAACTAGCAAACCCCTGAACTCTGCACTCTGTGTGTAGCAGACCCCTGAACTCTTCATTCTGTGTGTAGTGCACCCCTGAACTCTGTATTCTGTGTGTAGTAGTAAACCCCTGAACTTTGTACATAGCATACCCCTGAACTCTGCACATAGCACACCCCTGAACTCTGCACTCTCTGTGTAGCACCAACCTGAACTCTGCACTCTGTGTGTAGCACACCCCTCAACTCTGCACTCTGTGTGTATCACCAACCTGAACTCTGCCCTCTGTGTGTAGAACACCCCTGAACTCTGCACTCTGTGTGTATCACCAACTACCTGAACTCTGCACTCTGTGTGTAGCACACCCCTGAACTTTGCACGTAGCATACCACTGAACTCTGCACGTAGCACATCCCTGAACTCTGCACTCTGTGTGTAGCACCAACCTGAACTCTGCCCTCTGTGTGTAGCACACCCCTGAACTTTGCACGTAGCACACCCCTGAACTCTGCACTCTGTGTGTATCACCAACCACCTAAACTCTGCACTCTGTGTGTAGCACACCCCTGAACTTTGCACGTAGCATACCACTGAACTCTGCATGTAGCACATCCCTGAACTCTGCACTCTGTGTGTAGCACCAACCTGATAACATCTGCCTCTGCACTCTCTGTGTAGCACCAACCTGAACTCTGCACTCTGTGTGTAGCACACCCCTCAACTCTGCACTCTGTGTGTATCACCAACCTGAACTCTGCCCTCTGTGTGTAGAAACACCCCTGAACTCTGCACTCTGTGTGTATCACCAACTACCTGAACTCTGCACTATGTGTGTAGCACACCCCTGAACTTTGCACACAGCATACCACTGAACTCTGCATGTAGCACATCTCTGAACTCTGTACTCTGTGTGTAGCACCAACCTGAACTCTGCCCTCTGTGTGTAGCAAACCCCTGAACTTTGCATGTAGCATACCCCTGAACTCTGCATGTAGCACACCCCTGAACTCTGCACTCTGTGTGTAGCACCAACCTGAACTCTGCACTCTGTGTGTAGCACCAACCTCAGCTCTCAGCAGCGCCATGGTAGTTCATTGAGAGCTAGAAGCTGTCAGCCGCAAAGGGTGTTGGGACTTGTAGTTCATTCATTCATAGAACTCTATGAATGAATGATGTGGCTGTGTGGGTGGAGCACCGCATGGCTGCGCTGTTTTCAAAAAGTGAGAGCTAGTACGAGGAACTTCTCCCCATACTGCTGTCACAGGGAGAGAGGACAGCAGGCGGCTGCTGCAGGAGTGGGTACATGTTACCCTAAAAACGGGTTGAACATGTAACATGTTCCCAAAGGTGAACTTATCTTTTAACACCCACCCACTATAGGTGAAATTTGACCAAACCTACTATTTGATGCGGTTTGACAGTTGTGTGTGTAGGGGTGTAGTACATCTTGGGAGTAAGCAAGAGAGGGTAACTAGCAGAACCATACAAAGCAGTGTGCTTACAATGAAGCACACAGACAGCACACAGACAGCACACAGTTAATCCTTTGATCGCCCCAGATGTTAACCCCTTCCTGCCCAGTGCCATTAGTACAGTGTCAATGCTTTGTATTAGCACTGATCACTGTATTGGTGTCACTGGGGATGTCAGTGACACCAAGTCAGTTCCCCCCAGTGTCAGAATGCCTGCTGCATTCCCGGTATAAGTCGCTGATTGCTGCCATCACTAGTATTAAAAAAAAATTCCAGTATATATACCACCTTTTGTAGATGCTATAACGTTCATGTAAACCAATTAATTTATACAAATTGGGATTTTTGTCAGCAAAGACATGTAGCAGAATACATTTTGGCCTAAATTTATGACGAAATTTGATTTTTTTTTACAGGATATGTTTTATAGCAAAAAAGTAAAAAAATATTGTTTTTTTTTTTTCTCAAAATTGTCAGTCTTTTTTTGTTTATAGCACAAAAGATAAAAGCATAGGTGATCAAATACCACCAAAAGAAAGCTCTATTTGTGGGGAAAAAAGGACGTAAATTTAATTTGGGTGCAGCGTTGAATGACCGCGCAATTATTAGTTAAAGTAACGCAGCACCGTATCACAAAAAATGGCCTGGTCAGGAAGGGGGATAAATCCTCAGGAGGGCAAGAGGTTAAAGTCGTCATCTGGGCCACAACAAGAAATATATACAGTCAGCTTCAGTGGTCATGAAACAATACAAATCCAGACTCTGGAGGGCAAGTGGTTAAAAAACAATGTACATTTTGCACCCATGAGCTTGAAATCCTAACATTGACATTTTGGCCTCATGCAGACTGCCTCTAAATGTCCCTCTGCGTAAGGCTGTGTGTCCTTAAGTGTTCTCAGGCTTTTAGATGCAGAAAAAAAATCATGTGCACATACAGGAGAGGAGCGTTTTGCACCCAACCTGCCTAAATGCATCTAAATGCCCCTGAGCACTAGTTCTGTTTAGTGCTTGAGCTTTTATTCATTCTAATGGCCAGAATAAACTTCTATTCATAGAAATGAACGGCCAGATGCTTGACACCCCTAAATGTGTCTTAAAAGATCCTTAAATGACATTTAGTAATAATAATATTGCATAGCCTGAGATCATCATATATCGTTTGGTAAATACTGTGTTGCATTGACCTCTGCTGGTTATGTATGAAACTGTTTTGTTTTCTCTAGGAAATCCCCTTAAAGTCTACAGTATATGAAGTATATGCCACAGACAACGATGAGGGTTTGAATGGAGCAGTGCGTTACAGTTTGCTAAAAACCGGAGCTGGAAATAAAGACTGGGAATATTTTAGTATTGATTCCATGAGCGGACTCATTCAGACTGCACAGAGATTAGATAGGGAGAAACAAGCCATTTATAGTGTAAGTAGACAAGAGTCCAGAACATTGTAACTGAAGTGCTCTTGTATCATACAATAAAAATAATGACGTGCCATTCACACTTGCACATATGCAGGCAACATGCTTTTTTGACTGCATGCTCTTTGTGTTTGTTTTAGAAGTGTGTTTATGAATGTTGTGTGTTTTTATTTTAATTTTTTTTTTTTTATTATGCAGTCTGTGAATGGAGGACGGGTGGATGAATGAAAGGTTGACCTCCTCCAGTCATAGATTGCTTTTCATTGATGGAAGCTATGGTCAGGGCTGCTGTTAGAAACCATGGGGCCCCATACAGCCAACCTGACAGCGCCACCCAAACCACAGGGCCCCATACAGTCAACCTGACAAGCCCCCCCCCCCCCCCCCCCCATTACCCCAAGAAAACACAGTTTACTATGCTTCAGTTATGCATTAACACAGTGATTGGTACCAATCATTCAGGAAAGGAAGGGGCTGGTAAATGTGACATATCTACCCAACCCTTTCCCCACTCTCCATCCTGAAGGATCCTATTGTGTGCTTGCAGCTGCCGGTGGGAACGAGAGGAGGGAAGCAGGCAACATTACAGGGGTGGGGGCAGCAGAGGGAAATGTATTTTATTTATTTCAGGTACTTATATAGCACTGTCAATTTTACGCAGTGATTTACACATATATATATTGTACATTCACATCAGTCCCTAACCCTCAAGGGGCATACAATCTAAGGTCCCTAACTCATATTCATACATACTAGGGCCAATTTAGACAGGAGCCAATTCACCCACCAGCATGTCTTTGGAGTGTGGGAGGAAACCGGAGTACCTGGAGGAAACCCACGCAGGCACAGGGAGAACATGCAAACTCCAGGCAGGTGGTGCCGTGGCTGGGATTCGAACCAACAACCTTAGTACTGCCATGCGGAAGTGCTAACCATTGAGCCACTGTGCTGCCCAGGGAGGGTGATGGGTGCACCGGTGTGGGGCAATTACTGTAACCGTTTCCCTGTATGGCTCTCTTTGCAGCACCTGAAAGCCAGCAGGAGGGAGAGAGAAGAAGCCAGCTTTCAGCTACTGCAGAGAAAGCCAAACAGGGGATTGGTTACAATAATTGCCCCCCCGCCGTGCCAATCACTCTCCCGGCCTACATCCGATTCACCCTGTATGCTGGCCTGGGCCCCATACAGGAGGACTGATGGTACCCCTTATCCATAGCCCTGGCTATAGTACTGTTTTTATGAATGGAGTAGGGGCGGAAAGGGCAGCGTAGTTGGCACTTTAAAGGTGTGGCTACAACAGGTCTAATTTTATCTATTTATTATTTATTACAGGTACTTATATAGCGCTGTCAGTTTATGCAGCACTTTACATATATATATTATACATTCACAACAGTTGCTGCCCTCGAGGGGCTTACAATCTAGGTCCCTAAATCACATTCATACACATATTAGGGCCAATTTAAACAGGATCCAATTAACCTACCAGCATGCCTTTGGAGTGTGGGAGGAAATCTGAGTATCCAGAGGAAACTCATGCAGACATAGGGAGAACGTGCAAACTCCCCGCAGGTAGTGACGCGGTTGGTTGATCATATTAACCTCCCCAGCAACAGAAAATGACTGCTGCAGGGGTATGGGGGGAGTGACTGAGGACTTCAGAATTCAACTAAGAGAGCAGCCAACAGCACAAGGGACACTTGGCATTGACTGTAAGTACTGTCCCTTGTGCTGACTTTTACAAAAATTAAACATAGGTTTTAATATGTTCTCTTTAATACAACTGTAATATGAATAACCCTGTCATACTTTGGTGTTTATTTTTTTTCAGCTTATAATTGTTGCCTATGACCTTGGTCAACCAGTGCCTTATGAAGCCATGCTACCTCTTCAGGTTGCTCTAGATGACATTGATGACAATGAGCCAATTTTTGTCCGACCACCGGTAAGTAAAACAAGTTTGGAAATCCTGGCAGACCAAATGTATTTTCCTGTGCAAAAGAAAGCTTTTTTTTATGTAATTCATGAATTTTTTTGCATCATGTAGTATTTGGATTTGATACTTGTTCAGACTGTTTTACAAGAGCCTTTAGGGTCACCACACATGTTACAAACTACCGTACAATCTTTGTACAATCAACTTTACATTTACCAAATCTATGTAATATGAGGACCTACCTAATACAGACTTTTGGAAAATCTAAAGTTGATTGTTCAAAGATTATGCACTACACAGTTGTAAGTAGATGTGTTGAAGATTGGTCAATCAGATTGTAGAGTGAGTGGTCAGTCATAGTGGTAATTTTAACCATACCTAATTTATCTTCATCTGTAACCATGTATCTGGCTTTCATATTCCACAAGCCCTAGAGTGTGTGTAGATCTTATGACTGAAGTAGGACATTATTAACGGCTTCCCCGCTGCCCTACAGCAGAAATACTGCTACAGGGCGGCAGGGCTGCGCAAAATCATGTATATATACGTGATTTGCATTTCCAGGTAGGGGGCGTGCCCTTCTACCTGCTCCGCCTTTGGCGGGTACAGATGGGGATTCCCCGCCAATACACGGGGGTTGCCGAGTAACACTGACAGGGGAGAGACTTGTGTGTAAATAACACAGGTCTCTCTCCTGCCAGCAGTAACATGCTTCAGTGTATTCCTCTTGCACAGCAACATGTTTCCCCAGTAAAACACACACAGTACATGTTGTAAAGCAGCACACAGTTAACTCTTTGATCGCCCCAGATGTTCACCCCTTCCTGCCCAGTGTCATTAGTACAGTGTCAGTGCTTTTTATTAGCACTGATCACAGTATCAGTGTCAATGGGATGTCGGTGACAGTCAGTTCCCATCCAGTGTCAGAATGCCTGCCGCAGTCCCACTATAAGTCACTGATCGCCACCATTACTAGTATTTAAAAAAAAAAAATCCAGTATATATACCGCCATTTGTAAACGTTATAACTTTCACGTAAACCAATTAATTTACACGTATTGGGACTTATTTTTAGCAAAGACATGTAGCAGAATAAATTTTTAACTAAATTTTTACTGGATATGTTTTATAGCAAAAAGTCAAAAATATTTTTTTTTTTTTTTCAAAAATGTCAGTCTTTTTTGTTTATAGCGCAAAAAATAAAGAAATGCAGAGGTGATCAAATACTACAGAAAGAAAGCTCTATTTGTGGGGGAAAAAGGACATAAATTTTATTTATGTACAGCATTGTATGACCACACAATTGCCATTTAAAGTAACGCTGCGCCATATCGCAAAAAAATTGCCTGGTCAGGAAGGGGGGTAAATCCTCTGGAGGGCAAGTGGTGAACCTTATTAAGGCTGTATGAAATGATTTTCTGATCTTTGCCTTCTTTCTACAAAACACATATAATACAGTCTGGAATAGAAATGGTAATATGTAATCTATTTTAGACAGCACCGGATCTAAGGAAATGTACTCCACCCTATGCATAACCTAATCCTCTATTGTCAGTGGAGGGAAGCTTTGGAAGAAGCTGTCCACAAGATGTTTTTTCCAAGTTTCATTTCACTTTGCCAGTTTTCTTTTTCTCCAGTCATATCTCTTTTACATTTAACCTTGGCTGTCAGCACAACATAAACACAGGAGATAAAACAAATTTTGCTGAAGAACTGAAAAATGTGCATTACAAGGAAAAGCAATAGTTTGCCAATCTTTAGAAATAGTTTCCTACATTTGTGAGGCTGCCCGGAGCCATTCCCTTATTGCTGGAGAATAGGTAAAGTATTCACTGCTTAAATTTAGATGTTTAAAGCTGAACACCATCCTTGCACAGTTGTACAGGTTCCTCCCTTGTACTGAAATTGCTTCTCTTTGTAGAGCTACCCCCAGAGGAGCTGCTGTTTAAGATGGGTTCCCTGTTTCTGGCCTCGAACTTCTCAAAGACCTCAACCCCTGTGGCACACCAGGTTGAGTGCTCAGACATACATTATCACACAAAATCACTGACATTAATACTAAGTACCCAGCAACAGTGCTATATAAATGAAGACAGGCACCAAGGAAGTTAGTAAAAGATAATAAGGATAATTGGCAATAGATTAAAAGGCAAGCAAAGGAAATGGAATAACAATGGTGATAACACTCTTAGCTAAGACAAGCTGCGGTTTCTAAAGCGAGCAAAATCCTCTCTTGTATTAAAAGAGGTATAGACTCCAGAGAGATATATCATATTACCCCTGTACAAATCATTAGTAACGCCTCATCTTTAATATGCAGTTCAGTTTTGGGCACCAATTCACAAAAAGAACATTGGGGAACTGGAGAAAGTACAGAGAAGGGCAACCAAACTGATAAGAGGCATGGAGGAGATCAGCTATGAGGAAAGATTAGAGGAACTGAATTTATTTTTTCTTGAAAAGAAGAGATTAAGGGGGATATGATCAACATGTATAAATACATCAGTGGTTCGTATAGTGAGCTCGGTGTAGAGTTATTCACTTTGAGGTCAACACAGAGGAAAAGGGGGCACTCTTTATGTCTGGAGAAAAAGACATTTAATCCCCAAACACGGAAAGGTTTCTTCACAGTGAGAGCTGTGAAAAAGTTGAATAGACTTCCTCAAGAGTTGATTCTGGCCAGCTCAGTGGATTGCTTCAAAAAAGGCCTGGATTCTTTCTTAGATACACAGAATATAACATTTATAGGTGAAGTTGATCCAGGGAATATCCGATTGCCTCTCGGGGGATCAGGAAGGAATTTTTTTCCCTCCAGGAGCAAATTGGATCATGCTTTGCTGGGGTTTTTTTTTGCCTTCCTCTGGATCATCTGTGGGTATAGGATTATAACTTATTTTTTTAATGGTTGAACTGGATGGACTTTTGTCTTTTTTCAGCCAGAATAACTATGTAACTATATGTAACTATGTAGCACATAGGGTGATTAGTAATTAGGTCAATGCATAGAGTGACATTTGCCATCCAGATCAGCATAAACAGTAACACCGCCTCCTGAAGTGCAGCAGTGAACAGTAATGAGACCACTATACACCACTGGAACTAAACTGCCAGACAGCACTAATGGCAGTTATGCTAGCCCTAGGCTGTCTGGTAAGCCAGTATTTGGAAAAGCAAGGATGGGTATAGGGAAATGGAGGGGAATTTCAGGTAGGTTCAATGACAGGGGCAGTCCTTAACCACTCGCCTAGGCACTGTCACCCCCTTCCTGCCCAGGCCAATTTTCAGCTTGCAGCGCTATAGCACTTTGAATGACAATTTCACGGTCATGCAACACTGTAGCCATATGAGTTTTTGTATCCTTTTTTTCACACACATAGAGCTTTCTTTTGGTGTTATTTAATCCACACTGGGTTTTTTTTATTTTTTGCTAAACAAACAAAAAAAAGACCAACGATTTTGAAAAAAAAAATGTGTTTCTTAGTTTCTGTTATAAAATTTTGCAAACAGGTAATTTTTCTCCTTCACTGATGTGCGCTGATGAGGCTGCACTGATAGGCAGCATTAATGGGCACTGATAGGCAGCACTGATGGGCACTGATAGGCAGCACTGATGACACTGCACTGATAGGCAGCACTGATGGGCACTGATGAGGAGGTACTGATGAGGCGGCACTGATGAGGAGGCATTGATGAGTCTGCGCTGATAGGCGGCACTGATGAGCACTAATAGGCAGAACTGAAGTTTTGATGGCCACTGATTAGCCGCACTTATAGACACTGATTATCAGCACTGATGGACATTGTAGGAGGCACTGATAGGTGGTACTGACTGGCAGCACTGATGGACACTGATTAGCAGCACTGATGGATCTTGCCCTGATTATCAGTGTAGATGTCCCCTTTCACACTTGCTGGTTACTGAGCTCTCCTCTCCTCAAGCTATCACAGCTTGAGGAAAGTACTGCCGATAACTGGTAACTGTGTTTACATCGTGAATTGGACATCGTCAGTGGACACAACTGATCTCATGATAAAGGGCCACTGTGATTGGCCCTTTACTGTGATCTGTGAGTTCGAAGGACAGAACGATCACAGAGAGTGCTGGGTAAACGCCGCAGTGGGTGCGCAGAGGGGTGGAGTCAATAGACTCCCTCCCAGAACTGGATAATCGTGCTATAGCGGTCATTCGCCTGTAGCACACTCAGCAAGTGGTTAAGATGGTTCTTCTGCCTGCTATTGTCAGGTCCCTTTAGGAATGTTTGGTGTGCTTAATGACAGTCTTAATAAACCTTCACGCAGTAAATGTATACTGGTGCAGAGTAGATGTGGGTCCGGTACAGGGTAGAGGTGGGTCAGAAGTAGTAATATTTCAGTACAACTGTGGTATAGAGCTGATATGGGTGCAGGATAGGTTTGGTAAAGGTACTGTGTAAGGCTGGTATACATGCATATGTAAAGGGTGCACTTGGTGTCCTGCTCTCAGCAGCTCAGTCTCTGTTAGTAATGTCAGTAAATGGCAGCTACCCTTCTCACCAGTTTCCAGGATACAGTTGCAGGCGTCCACGATGGAAGCCACCCCCCCCCTCCAGTCTCTCCCTGAAGCCTTCGATGAACAGTGATGAGAGCTGGTAGTGGATAAGCATTACAATCTCCCTGTGGCAGCTGTGCAGATGCTGCTGGGGTGGCCAATGCAACAGTTGTCCCCACTCTTAGTCACAGGATCGGGTCCCTATTGGTCTGGCCTCTACAGTCTGCTCACATGCAGCCAGAGTGACCCCTTACCTGGCCCCAAACAACTGCCCCATACTTTCCTTTTCTAACTCCTCCAGGATCTCAGAGTCTATAGGGATCTGTAGTTTTGCAGCCAGTCCTGTACAGTGTAACAGTCCCTCCCAAAATTCCATGCCCAGTGTCCTGTGTGGCTGATGTATACTCCTCCTGCTCTTTACTAGTTAGTCCCTCTGTCGCTTGCCAGACTCCTTAGTGACACCAGGGAAGCAGTGCTCCAATTGGACACTGCAACACTGGGTGACTCTGGTGGCCATCTTTAGTGTGGGCAGTGCTAATAAATAGCTGTGCCCTACTGAACTATGGTGTATATGTGAGTGGATGGAGTAGGGAAAGGAACCCCGCTTGTTTGGGATAGTGAAATAGTGTCAGGGAAAGGCTCCTGATCGAGAAGGGAGAGATTAAGGACACAGTTGACTGCTCTGCCGTTCTCCAGTCTATGGTATTAGACCACAGTACCTCATAAGATCTGCACAGTTCTGTTAAGTGATTCCATTCTGCCTGCCAGGGACTTGCCAATGCTGCTCCAGTAATGTAGAAGATGCCAGTGTAATATTATATGCTAAGGATCTCCCAATTTAGGCCTTAGGCCTCTTACTCATGATGACAATATCGTTTTGTTTTTTTTGCATACTAGTCTCATATCAAAAACGAAGAAGTTATGAAAATTCTCATACAACTTCGAAATTAGGGTTATGTATTGTGTTGTAATGTTTTCTTTTGTTTTCCGAGCATGCGCGGTCTTGGTCACTAAATTGTTTTCGTATAAATACTATACTAATTACACAAAAATCATTCACACTTTTTTGTGCTTTGTCCTTTCGGATATTTTTGCATGAACTGTCATGATCGGCGTTGTACTAATGATCAGATTATCAGACGATCGCTCCAAAAGTATTTTTTTTTTTCATCTGATTTTCTCATCGTGTGTACTAGGCGTTACTGTTACCTCCACTGTCAGCATTCCTACACCTGTACTTTCAGTATTACTGTATTTGCTACTCCAACAGTATCTGGAACTGTTACTTCACTTGTTCTGCCGCTGTTGCTACAGCCACTTTATTAGTGATTGCCAATTGCTGCTCAACCTGTTACCTGTTTCACCTTCAACTCAACAAAATAATAACTATTCAACCTTTGCTTGGACTTTTTGTGTTGTTCTTCCAACTTTTGTATCAAACTTATTTTTTGGTGAATTGATCTATCTTCAAGCCTTATGACATCTTTTATTGTATGTTGTCATCTATACTTTGCCATTTTCACAGAGAGGTGCCGTGCAGTACCAAAGCCTTTCTGTCCGTGAACATTCCAAACCTGGAACTATAGTGGGGAATGTCAGCGGTGCTCTGGATGCTGATGAAGGTTCAAATGCCATTGTCTACTATTTTATTGCAGGTAAAAAAAATGCAGGGCCCTTTATGGCTTTAGTCTCCTATACAGAGATTGTGTCAAGAAATCCCCATCTGTTTGAAATAAAAGTTTTTTAGGTTTTAATTATGTATTCTTTTCTTTCTCTTAATTTTGTATGTTTTCAGTACAATAGTGATATCAATTTGCTTTATGTTACTTACTTTGGATTTCATTTGAGCAGCTCACACTAGACCCTAAAATATAAGTTGAGCTTTTCTTGAGCTACTATTATTGCTGGATTTTTAGGGACTAGATTCCTATTTAATGGTTTTGTTCTTTGATGCTCCCTTTTGGTAGTAGGCCTGAAAGTTTGTTTGTTGTACTGATGTATGAAAAGAAGTGAAACTGTTCAATAGGTATTTAGTTTATAAATGTAACTGAACCTAAAAACAAAAATATATTTTAGCTTGTCAATCTTTCGATGTGGTGGCTGCATTAGTATTCCTTTTTTTTAGGCCAAGAACATTTTCAGCAAGTACAGAAAACGGTTGCTGATCTTGCCAGAAATGAAGTGTCTTTGTCATTTCCTGTGAGCTTAAAATAGATTACAAAAAAAGCTTATCCACTACTAGTTCCATAAACTCCAATTAATATTTGAAGATCAACATAGACAGGTATATGTTTGAAGTCCAGCCTGGCTGGCTACAATCATTTCCTTCTTACATGTACTGGAGGAGTGCAATGTAGCCACCCAGGGAAAGGAATTTTAACATTTGCGGGATTACAAATTGAAAATAAAGGACAAAAAGCCTGAAAAGAGAAAACAAATGCAGCCACCACTTCTAAGGACTGGTAAACTACATTTTTTTTTTTTGGGGGGGGAGGGAGAAATAGGCTTTAAAAGAGAAGTATGTCCGAAGCTCTTATGGTCATACTTCTCTTGTGGTTCGCGGGAGTGCACTTAATTGTGCACTCCTGTGACCCAGAATCAGTCGACAGAGGGCTAAAGCCACTCCAGTCATTGAACCACTCCAGTCTCTGGATGTACCCTGACAATAATGTCGGAGTCCACCCAGATACTTTATCAGCAGTTGGCTCCACCTCTCCGAGCCTGAGCTAATCAATCCTCTCCCCTTTCCTGCTTGGTACTCCAATGAGCACTGGAGGGGCAGAGCACAGAGTAGTGACTGTCAGCGGTCAAGTGTTCTCTCAGTTCTGGGACTTGGAGCTGGTGGGGGACAGGTGCAGCATCACAGTGATACTGCAGCCATAGAGGTGAGCAGTATGTTTTTTTTCCTGCACTTTAATAGCAGGTATTGTTTCCACTTTTTATAGCTTACACTGTATCTTAGGCTGATGGTGGCTATGAAGATGGCAGTTCTCACCAATCTGTTCAACCTCTATTTAAAGTCATATTTATGAGTCAAACAGGCCACTTAAGAGAATTTGAAGAGGCAATAGATTCAGGACTATTTTTTAAACTTTTCTTTCCACCGTGTTCTCTATATTACTTATATTGGTACAATATACTCAAATTTCAATTCCTACCCATACAGCCCTCATATTACAGACCTTATGATCAATGTTAGTTTTGAATTGTTAGTTTTATGTTGGTTTCCAGAAAGATCCGCCTCTGGCTTTCCTAGTATGTTCCTCCCAGTCATCAGCACATCGCAGATAATGGCCCCAGGTGAATAATCATAAGGTTCCAAGTGAAACAACTATAGATGGACTTTCTATATCAGGCTCTCCTTGACATTGAAGGGATGTTCCAAGAAATGCAGAGTTGCCCTGTTAACCGGCACCAGTCTGTATAGCCTGTGTGATCCAAAAACGCCCGACGTGCGTTCCAAGCCTCGCTTTCGCCAAGCCGAACGTGACCTCACCGGAGCCCAGAAGTGACGAAATCACGCTTCTACGAATGTTTCACCCAGTGGTGTCTTCCTGAAGGCGCTGCCGAGCGAAACATAAGTAGAAGTTCAACTATGGTTGGTTCACTTAGAATCTTATGATTATTCACCTGGGGCCATTATCTGTGATGTGTTGATGACTGGGAGGAACATCCTAGGAAAGCCAGAAGCGGATCTTTCTGCATATATTATAACAATGCGCTATTGACCACCGTAACCGGGGTCAATTAAGTTTTGGTGTGTGAGCAATGCACCTATTTCATCTGCACGGGGTGAAGGCACACAGATTTATGGTCTACAGCAACGTATTCTGGAAGGACTGTCACTTTAATATTATGATTTACTTCATTTTCACTATTAACAAAGGTTTAATACTGTTTAGATAATTGGGAGTATGCAATATTACACTCAATGATATTTGATACGAAATGTAGAGAGATGTCTTGTTCTGATCATATGTTTTATGGTTGCACAGTGCCAACCTATTCACGATCGTATATGTTATCTCACTTTTTTGGGGCAGCTGCAAATTCACATTGTTGGCACAGTGTGGACACAACATTATTATTTAGCACATTGACACTAGGCACCATAATAATATTCTATAATATATGTTAATACACTGTGCTGTGGCTGTGTGTAAGGGAATCCAATATCAGCTACACCCTGTATTGGGAGAAGGAGATCTGCTACCTGTGTCCAGGCTCTTTAAAGGGATAGGAGAAAGAGCTCTGCTGAATGCCCTGTCATTAGTGACCCCTGTCCTCCGCCCTGCTGACCCCTATATACACTGCCCTATTGACCCCTGTCTTGTCCTGAAGACCCCTGCACACTACCCTGCTGACCTCTGTGCTTCACCCTGCTGACCCCTGTCTTACGCCCTGCAGACTCCTGTACACTGCTGCTGACCCCTGTCTTTCACCCTGTGGACCCCACACACTACCCTTCTGACCCCTGACCCCTGTACCACTGTACACTGTACTACAAACTAATGTCCTCTGGACAGTTTTTATGGCAAAATTTGTGACATAAAAAAACACAGCACAAATTTTTTTTCATATAAACAAATATTAAAAATAAAAAATATATAATAAAAAATTAAAAATATCCAAATAAATATATGTGCCAAAATAAGAGTCCCAATCCAAAGAATAAAGAAATGTTGAAATCCAATGTGCTCCAAACTCAACAAAACGGTGCTGTATACAGAGATTTCAGTGTGTTACCACCATCCGTGACAATCAACATATGCTGCTCTCACCAGATATATTGGACTCTCTATAATTAAGAGTCAAATATGCTTTGTGGATATTACATATCCTCCCAATTGGGGTTCACACTACTCAGAAGAAGCTCCAACAGAGGGATTTCCCACACAGATTGATCAATTTAAAAAAGGTTTATGGCACCCACACTCAGACAGGCTTGATCTGGCTCTGTTTGGGGATGGGGGGGATACGTAGTTTACAGAAAAAAGATACAATTCACTTTCAGTTCACAGAAAGTGACAAGGATAGTGCATTTCTGGTAGGAATGATAATGTTCTTAGCTTGGAAAATCAAAAGAGCCACCACATCTAAGGACTGGTATTTGGCAATATCATTTTTGTCAATGAGCGTAATTATCATTCAGAACTCAAAAACAGCAGATTATTTGCTGTCTTTGACAAGAGAAGGATCTGTGTAATGCATTTAGAGGATAGAAAACAATCTCTTCTTCAAGCAGATTATTTTGATTTTGCTTTATCATGTACAAGAGTCATCCAAATACTGATTTGGTGTTACCTTATTGTGTAAAAAGGTTACCCGATGACTGGTTTTCTTACATTTTTTGGAACTTCAGCAGCAAAATTTCTGTACTTTAGCATCAAGGTATATCCACCTGTCACAGCCACTGCTAAGAGGTTTCATGATACTTGCTGACATTTTTATTTAGCTTACATTACAGAGAATGCAGTATTACTAGTCAGATTCTCAGTGTTATGGCAGGAGTGAGACTTCACACTGGTGGAAGATGGGAGTTGGCAGAATTGGGAGCATGACCAGGAAATTCCCCCTGCTGGAGTCCCAGAGGGATATAAAAAAAACCATCCAGAACTATCAGTTCTGGATGGGTTACCACTTTAAAACCAAATAATGTAAAATGATGTTCTGACTTGCAATATATTTCTTTTGTAGCTGGGAATGAAGGAAACAACTTCCAGCTGGCTCCTGAAGGAAAGCTGACAGTTCTGAAGAACCTGGACCGAGAGAAAGAACCATACTACTCTCTTATAGTAAAAGCATCCAGCAACAGAAATTGGTCAGCCCGCAAAGCGATGAGGGCCGCGAGGATACAGAGCTTTGATTCCAGCACAGACTCAACCTTACAGGAAGTGAGGATCTACCTTGAGGACATTAATGATCAGCCACCTCGATTCACAAAAACAGAGTATACAGCAGGTAAGAAATTTGTTACAAATACATAAAAACAACAAAAAATTGTTTAGAATGAAGTTTAGTAAATTTTCCATTTTCATATGATTATATTATATGTTTTTCTTCAGGTGTTGCAACAGATGCAAAAGTAGGCTCTGACCTCATCAAGGTTCTGGCACTTGATGCTGATGTTGGCAACAACAGTCTGGTATTCTACAGCATTTTAAGTATTCACTACATTAAGCAGAACTCAAATGACTCGCAGGAGGTGAAAAATATTTTTGTGATTGGTAAGAATATTCATTTTATCCATATTGTCTTTATTGCCTTTCCTGAGCTTAAAGGTCACCAAAATGTGGCCATTAACTTTCCTATGATTGCAAGGATTTATTTTTTTTATATTTTAGAGATTCCAGTGGTGAGGTATCTAGACCTGAATTTCCAGTTCTGCACAATCACTGCAGACATTACAAAGCCACATGATATGCTTACTTCTCATTCAGTGATTTTGCCACAACACCGCACCAACAAGTAGCCGGAAAGTTGTTTTCAATGAAGAACTCATTGATACAGTTAAAGTGTATCTTTTATTAAAAATTCCACTATTATGTCTATCATGTTAAGTCAGACAGACCTCATCTGGTAGACTTGCAGTAAGATGAAAGGATCAGTTAGGCACAGTTGCAGTGCTGCACTAATAAGTAGGCTGCAGAATCTTCAGCACTAATGAGCAAATATGGTTCCCACCGACCAAGGCTGCTGTTAGAAACCATGGGGCCCCATACAGCCAACCTGACAGGGCCCTCCCAAAATAAAACACAGTTTACTATGCTTCAGTTATGAATGAACACAGTGAGGGATCGTTACCAGTCACTCATTGTGTTCATTCAGGAAACAAAGGGGCTGGTAAATGTGACATATTTACTGGATCCTTCCCCCACTCTCCATATTGAAGTAGACAAAAAAAGGCAGAGTGAACTTTGCCCAGACTGATATGCTGATTCATGTTGTAAATCGCGACACCAACAGAATTCTTGATGTCGATTGGTAAGTTCAGTATATGTGAAAACTTGGGGCCCTCACAAAATAAAACACAGTTTACTATGCTTCAGTTATGAATGAACACAGTGAGTGATCACTACCACTCATTCGTTTTGTTCATTCAGGAAAGGAAGGGGCTGGTAAATGTGACATATTTACCGGATCCTTCCCCCACTCTCCATATTGAAGTAGACAAAAAAAGGCAGAGTGAACTTTGCCCAGACTGATATGCTGATTCATGTTGTAAATCGCGATACCAACAGAATTCTTGATGTGATTGGTAAGTTTTGTATATGTGAAAACTTGGGGCCCTCCCAAAATAAAACACAGTTTACTATGCTTCAGTTATGAATGAACACAGTGGCAATCATTACAAATCACTCCTTGTGTTCATTCAGGAAAGGAAGAGCTAGTAAATGTGACATATTTACTGGATCCTTCCCCCACTCTCCATATTGAAGGATCCTATTGTGTGCTTACATTTTCCAGCGGGAACATACTATTTAATTACTTTCTGTACATTGAAACATGGTTTTTAAAAATATTCACATATAATAATGTGCTTAACCATAAGACTCCGTTCACAGTTGAAATCACAGGCAGAATTGTTGTAATTTTATACACAATTTAAAATTGCAGCAAGATGTGCATTTGAGTGCTGTTATTTCTAATGGCACTCCAAGCGCAGTGTGATTCTGCTGCAATTATTGTGTAACAGAATGGCATTGTTAAAAAGAGCAGCAGCTTAAGTGACAAATGTGCATAGGGCAGCCCATTGAAGTGAATGGACTGCCCTATGCCCGACACGTGTTTCCATGTGTAAATCATGGTTTGAAAATATAGCAAGACCTGAACGGGGCCTGGAGCCCAATTAACCATTTGGTTTCATTGACCTAAATATATTCCAGGTTAATCAAAACAAAAGGTGTTCAACATTATACAGTTTGTTTTTTTCTAAGTCAGCTACTGTACCTGATAATAATGCTTCCTGTAGTAATTTAACAGCGTTGCCATTTTCAATAAAGTGACTAAAGGCACCATTTTTTTTTATAGTTCTGGATATAGTGGAGAGGGATTAGAACTCATGTCAGGTTTTATTGCTGTCTGTGTCCCCATTTATCATTATTACCAAGCATGAAAGCAAACCTATTGAAAGGAAGAATCTTTCAATGGGAACGCTAGTTCTGGTAACAACCAGTTTGTTTCTTAGATGAAGAATCTTTCAATGGGAACGCTAGTTCTGGTGACAACCAGTTTGTTTCTTAGATGAAGAATCTTTCAATGGGAACGCTAGTTCTGGTGACAACCAGTTTGTTTCTTAGAGGAAGAATCTTTCAATGGGAACGCTAGTTCTGGTAACAACCAGTTTATTTCTTAGATGAAGAATCTTTCAATGGGAACGCTATTTCTGGTGACAACCAGTTTGTTTCTTAGATGAAGAATCTTTCAATGGGAACGCTAGTTCTGGTGACAACCAGTTTGTTTCTTAGATGAAGAATCTTTCAATGGGAACGCTAGTTCTGGTGACAACCAGTTTGTTTCTTAGAGGAAGAATCTTTCAATGGGAACGCTAGTTCTGGTGACAACCAGTTTGTTTCTTAGATGAAGAATCTTTCAATGGGAACGCTAGTTCTGGTGACAACCAGTTTGTTTCTTAGATGAAGAATCTTTCAATGGGAACGCTAGTTCTGGTGACAACCAGTTTGTTTCTTAGATGAAGAATCTTTCAATGGGAACGCTAGTTCTGATGACAACCAGTTTGTATCTTAGATGAAGAATCTTTCAATGGGAACGCTAGTTCTGGTGACAACCAGTTTGTTTCTTAGAGGAAGAATCTTTCAATGGGAACGCTAGTTCTGGTAACAACCAGTTTGTTTCTTAGATGAAGAATCTTTCAATGGGAATGCTAGTTCTGGTGACAACCAGTTTGTTTCTTAGATGAAGAATCTTTCAATGGGAACGCTAGTTCTGGTAACAACCAGTTTGTTTCTTAGATGAAGAATCTTTCAATGGGAACGCTAGTTCTGGTAACAACCAGTTTGTTTCTTAGATGAAGAATCTTTCAATGGGAACGCTAGTTCTGGTGACAAACAGTTTGTTTCTTAGATGAAGAATCTTTCAATGGGAACGCTAGTTCTGGTAACAACCAGTTTGTTTCTTAGATGAAGAATCTTTCAATGGGAACGCTAGTTCTGATGACAACCAGTTTGTTTCTTAGATGAAGAATCTTTCAATGGGAACGCTAGTTCTGGTGACAACCAGTTTGTTTCTTAGATGAAGAATCTTTCAATGGGAACGCAAGTTCTGGTGACAACCAGTTTGTTTCTTAGATGAAGAATCTTTCAATGGGAACACTAGTTCTGGTGACAACCAGTTTGTATCTTAGATGAAGAATTTTCCAATGGGAACGCTAGTTCTGGTGACAACCAGTTTGTTTCTTAGATGAAGAATCTTTCAATGGGAACGCTAGTTCTGGTGACAACCAGTTTGTTTCTTAGGGGAAGAATCTTTCAATGGGAACGCTAGTTCTGGTGACAACCAGTTTGTTTCTTTCTAAGTCAGCTACTGTACCTGATAATAATGTTTCCTATAGTAATTTAACAGCGTTGCCATTTTCATTAAAGTACAACTAAAGGCACCATTGTTTTTATAGTAATGGATATAGTGGAGAGGGATTTGAACTCATGTCAGGTTTTATTGCTGTCTGTGTCCCCATTTATCATTATCACCAAGCATAAAAGCAAAAAAAAAAAAGATCCCAATTTTGGGGTTGTTACCAGAACAGGAATAGAGGAAGAATCTTTCAATTGGAATGCTAATTCTGGTGACAACCAGGGATTCCCTCACTTTTGAGAGATTTCCTTCTACTTCCTGTTTTGACTATGGGACAGGAAGTGAAGGTAAATCTTCCCAGTGAGATACAGATGGCAAAAAACTGATAGATGTTATACTATATATCCTTCTCTTACTCTATCCAAAATGAAAAAAAAAAAACTTTGCCTTTAGTTCAACTGTAACACCTGATCTTACAATGTAAATTGTTTAGTTAATTAGACTAATTATACTGTAATTATGCCTACCTGTATGTTCTGTCTTTGTAGGTAATGTTGATGGTATTATTCGGACGTTTGATCTCTTTACTGCCTACAGCCCTGGTTACTTTGTGGTTGACATCATGGCCTCTGATCTGGCTGGGCACAATGATACTGCTGTTGTCGGAATATATATCCTACGTGATGACCAGCGCTTAAAGATAGTTATTAATGAGATTCCAGACCGGGTGCGTGAATTTGAGGAGGAATTTATACGACTTTTATCCAACATCACAGGAGCCATTGTCAATACAGATGACGTTCAGGTAAAAACTGAGTGAAGAGCACAACGTTCAATATTCTTGCTTAGACCTTTATTTTAAGAAATAAACATTGTTGAATTAGGTAGATACATTATCAGATCCTTATGACTTTAAATTGCCTCACATTTTACAATCCTCTGTCACAACCCAGGTGGTGATTGTAAGAAACATATATCAAAATTACCCCTCCACACACAAAAATTGTACATGCACATTGATTTCCTTAAGCCCTTGGCGCCGGCGCCTCCTGGCCCTTTAAGGGTTTCAGAAGCTGGGAGGCAGGGCGGGGTTTAGGTCATGTGACCGCCGTGACAGGCCGTCATGGCGGTCACATGATCGGGAAAGGTCCCAATCGAAAGAGGAGATCGGGACCTTTCCGTGAGTACATGTGTGCTGGGAGCCCGCAGGGCACACGCTCTCAGTACATATGTTTTTTCTTAATAGACTACAAATGTGAGGCCGGCGTGAAGAGGTTAACCACTTCCCGCCGACCCATGTACATAAACGGCCGGACGGGAGCAGTGCAGGAGCGGGTTGCCGTGTATAAACGGCGCCCGCATTTACAGCCTATGCACGCTCCCTGTGTGAGGTCCCAATCATGTGATCACTGATTGGCCAATCATTGATCACATGAATAGTAGTAAACAAGATGTCACTTCCTGACATCTTTGCTTACTACTTGTGAAATCTGTGAATGATCACAGAGGTCACATGGTACAATGCTATTCACAACAGCCTTGTACCATGTGACAAGCTGTGACCAATCACAGCTCTCACAGTATTTCTCAATGGCTGCAAGAATGCAGCCAGAGAGAAGGAGAAGTGATTGATTTTACATTTATGGATGTAAAAGCAATCAGTGTAATAAAAAATCTTCATAACCCCCCACAAGTAGCGCAGTATCACTTTGGTGACACTGTACTGCTAGGGTGACAGTATGTAAAAAAAAATAAATAATGATATAAAACAATAAAATAAAAATTTAAAAACATTTTTTGAAAAATTATAATTTTTGGTTATAAACTAATTTTGTTTTTTTTTACTAAAAAGATAACTGAATAAATTTTGGCCAAGATTTATGAAGAAAGAGTATTTATTTGCAAAATTTTATAAGAAAAAAGTGTGATAGCACTGAAAGCTGAAAATTGGCCTGGACAGGAAGGGGGGGGTGAAGGTGTCCGGACTTGAAGTGGTTAAAGGATATTATCCAATCCCATGGAACACATTGGAGTCTGCTAAGCTATTGAAACAATTTTCAGTCCATCTCCTCATCACTAATTCACACAATCTCATCTAAATTTCATGATTAGGCAGGGTTTTATATAGTGTGTCACATTATGAGTTCTCAGCACAGTTCAGTTCAATCTAAACTTAGTAGACTGTGCAGACCAAATGTATTGTTCTTTGTGTCTCCTAGTATATTAATGTTATATGTACATTTCTGTTTTATTCCCATAGTTTCATGTAGACAAAAAAGGCAGAGTGAACTTTGCCCAGACTGATATGCTGATTCATGTTGTAAATCGCGATACCAACAGAATTCTTGATGTCGATCGGTAAGTTTTGTATATGTGAAAACTTGGGGTTATGTAAATAGAAAACAATTTCCTTATATCACTTCATGGTCAGTTTTTATATGGTTAATTAAAAAAAATATTTACTTTCCTTCCAAGAGTTATACAGATGATTGATGAGAATAAAGAACAATTACGGAATCTATTTCGCAATTACAATGTCTTGGATGTGCAACCAGCCACTACACCCAGTGCTCCGGAGGACTTGTCTGCATTACAGGTAGAGCTTGTTTAAAGCTTAAGTGCAGCCAAAAATCACAAACAGAACAATCAGCACAAGGGATATAAAATACAGTCAGTAGGATTTGTCCCTTGTGCTGATTTCTCTTGTGTTAGTGAAGTTCTTTCTCCTTTCTGTCTTCATCCTGTCAACAATCCTTGCTGTCATAATTTTCTTGTGTGGCTGGGGTGTATACAACTAACGAGCTGTCACAGACTATCAAGATAGCCCAATTATGCCCTCCTTTTTTCTGACCAGCTTCGTCATTCATAGAAGCTGTACTACAGCTCCTAAGAATGAAACTTAATTATAAATGGAGGCCGGGCGAATGATTGGTAGGCCAGCCCCCTCCATTAATAGATCTTTTTTCATTTATAGTATACATATTAGTACGATACACATGCACGAGGAAGAATGTGATTAGATCACTCTTTAAAGTTTAACTAAATTATAATACCTGCATAAGGTTCTACAGTGTGGTAGATACCTACAGATTACCATATTTATGAAGTGGATATTGGGTATCATAAATCACCTGGGCTTTGCTTAGGTTGCAGTTAAATACCACTTTTTCCCAGATTTAAAATGGGGAATTCTCAATTTTTGTTTGATGCAGAGTGCATAATAGGGAAGATACAGTCTAGGTGGCAAGCTCTGAATGGTATAATCTTTTTCCTGATGCCTCCATGACAGCATGCCTGTGATAAGCTCTGCCTTGGACTCCTCCTTCAGGACCAGTGAAATATATAAAAAAAAAGGATTAAGGTATCGCCAGCATTCTCCTTTTTTTCCTCATGCCTTATGGTGAAAAGGACCACATTACATTCTACCCAGATAGGGTGGAACTCAGAATACTGTGCGGATTTGTTCCTTTTCCAGTCTTTCAGAACCATGGGCTCTGCCAACCTTTTCAGACCCAGAATAGGGTACCCTCCATGAGCTCGACATCCCCAGTGTACTAAGGTGCTATCTTCAAGCTACAGCATCTTTTAAGGACTTGTCTATTCTATTTGTCATCCCCTGGGGCAACAACAAGGGAAAAGAGGCTTCATCAAGAACAATTGCTTCATTGATATTCAAGTTAATTCAGAAGGCGTACAGAGCCAGGGGTTTGGAACCCTCCTCTTCAATCATTGCACATTCAACCAGGTCTGTCTCCGCTTCATGGGCAGCTAGGGCAAACATATCCATCGAGACCATCTGCAGAGAAGCTACGTGGTTGTCCCAACACATTTTTATGAGGTACTACAGAGTAGACCCAGGGACTCTCTCGTCTGTGGAGTTCGGCAGACAAGCTATCAGAGCGTCCGTTGCCTGTTCCAAATGAAAATCCTCCTATTTTGAATAAAATTTTTTCTAAACATGATCCCACCCATTTCAGCTAGTTATTTATCACTGGTATGCTGCCATGGAGGCACCAGGAAAACAGAAAATTGTACCATACTTACCGTAATTTTCCTTTCCTGGTGCCTATCCATGGCAGCATACAATCCCACCCTCTGTATTCTATATTACAGAGAATGTTGGGAGTACCTTAATCCTTTCATTTATATATTCACTGGTCCTGAGGGAGGAGTCTAAGGCACAGCTTATCACAGGTATGCTGCCATGGATAGGCACCAGGTAAGGAAAATTACGGTAAGTATGGTACAATTTTCTGTTTTCATGTGTTCCTGTGTCTAGATCACATGACCAGTGATAACACATGACCTAGTGCATAGGTGAAAGAAATTTTCACAAATTAAGCCTGTGCTACATGTAAAAACAAAAACTCCCTATACCAATATAATCTATAGCTGCAGTCTTTAAAAGCCAATAGTGCTCCCAAAATAATTTTTTCAAAAATTGTGACTTTGCTGTACTTAATAAACCTAAAAAAACTATTAATTTCTCACGTGATCCAATAAATTCATGTGCTACATCTGTGGTATTTCTTTTGAAAAACATCAAAACTCATAAATATTATCAAAGGCTCAATATTCACAAGTATTAAGTGAAAAATATTAAGTGCATATTTTCACGTGTCCAGTGTCATAAAAATTTTGTAAAATATAGAAAGTGTTCAGTGCGCTAAAAGTCCACAAAGCACAAAGTGACTTCTGCTTCAGTCAAATGTATGATCTTCTCATTCCTCAGTGCCCACACCTCATGTGTCAGGGCAGGAGCTGAGGAACGGACAGGCAGGCCTAACAATGTAACGCACTGGCTGATGACAACCACCACCCACAGACCGAAGTCCCTCAGGGCGCGGAGTCTAAGTCCCAGGCTGCCCTTCACCAGGGCCCCTGATGGTGGGGATGGACTTGACGCAGCCAGGAACCAGGTCGCGGCCCCCGAGACACCTCAGCTGCGGTAATGGCCGCCGCCAATGGCGTGTAGCTGGTGGAAGAGACAAAAGAGTAGTCAGACAAGCCGGGGTCAACAACAACAGGACAAAACAGTACAGGACAGCAGACGAGAATCACAGGTCACGAGCTGGGTTCAGCAACAGAGGGTCAGATCAAAGGAGAATACAAAGAATAGTCAAGTCACAAGCCGAATCAGATACCAGGAGAGTCACGAGAGTCAGAACAGAGTAATAGCAAGCAACACAAAGACACAAGTGCAAAGAGCATGTGCGGGCCACAGGCTTATATGTCATCAGCCACACCCCTCTGGGGGATGGACCACAGAAACCTGAAGGCATAAAAGGATTCCCATCATGCACAGCAGAATCCAAGATGGACGCCAGCACATGGAGTAACATAACCTCAGGGAAAAGGTAGGACCTTGACAGTACCTCCTCCTCAAGGGCCCCTCCCCCTCCGCGGCTCAACAAAAGGTTTCTGAGGAAAGCGGGTATGAAAAGCGCGGAGGAGGGCAGGAGCATGGACATCCGCGGAAGGAACCCGGGAACGCTCCTCGGGACCATAACCGCGCCAATGAACCAGGAACTGTAATCGACCCGCGCACCAATCGAGAGTCCAGGATCCGGCTCACCTCATACTCCTCATGACCGTCAACCCGGACAGGACGGGGCCGAGGAAGAGAGGTAGTGAAGCGATTGCAGATCAGAGGTTTCAACAGGGAAACATGAAAGATATTGGAGATCCGCATCCCAGACGGAAGGGCAAGGGCATAGGCCACCGGATTCACTTTGCGGAGAATGCGGAAAGGACCGACAAAACGGGGAGCTAGTTTGGGTGTGGGCACCCGAAGATTGAGGTTGCGAGAGTAGACAACCACACCCGATCGCCGACCTGGTATGAAGGAGCGGGCAACCGTTTGCGATCAGCCTGGAACTTCTGGCGCTGAGCTGAGTCCCTCAAGGCCCTCTGGATCTGCCCCCATGAAGAACGCAGGGCAGCAAGATGGTTCTCCACAGCCTCTCAGGTAAACCGCGGGTTGGAAACCCATAGTTGGCCATGAAGGGAGACATCCCGGAGGAGGAGTTGACCGCCGAGTTCCTGGCAAACTCTGCCCACGGCAGGAGATCGCCCAATCGTCCTGATGGTCTGAAATATAACACCGAAGGAATTGTTCTAAGGCCTGATTGGAACGCTCCGCAGCCCCATTGGACTGCGGGTGGTAGGCTGAAGAAAAGGAGAGACTAATACCCAACTGGGAGCAGAAGGCGCGCCAGAATCTGGACACGAACTGACTCCCGCGGTCTGAGACAATCACCTTAGGTAACCCATGCAGGCGAAAAATCTCCCTGGAAAAGACCGTGGCCAGTTCTTGCGCTGTGGGTAATTTCCTGAGTGGAATGCAATGGCACATCTTGGAAAACCGATCGACGATCATGAGGATGACCGTATGACCCCGAGACACCGGGAGGTCTACAATAAAGTCCATCCCTAGATGTGACCAAGGATGCTCCCCATTGGGAATGGGTTGAAGAAGACCCAAAGGGAGATGCCGTGGAGACTTATTCTGGGCACAGATCGAACATGCCGCTACATAAGAGGCAATGTCGGCACGGAGGGTTGGCCACCAGAATAAGCGAGAGACGACCCAACACAGCTGGTTCTTCCCCGGATGCCCGGCAGTTTTGGCGTTATGGTAGGTACGCAGCAGGCGGGTGCGCAATCCCTCGGGTACGAAACATCTACCCTCCGGCTTCCCGGGAGGAGCATCAGTTTGAGCCGCCAAAATCTGCTCCCCAAGGGGAGAGGTCAGACTGGTGCGAATGGCAGCCAGGATCTGATCTGGAGGTATAAGTGAGATTGGCTCAGAGTCCTCCCTGGACAACTCAGAGTATTGCCGTGACAACGCATCAGCCCTGACATTCTTGGAACCAGGCAAATATGAAACCACATAGTTGAAGCGAGACAAGAACAGAGCCCATCTGGCCTGGCGGGGTGTCAATCTCTTGGCCTCCGAAAGATAAGTCAGGTTCTTGTGATCGGTAAGAATGAGGACCGGAACCGCGGAACCCTCGAGCAGGTGCCTCCATTCCTTGAGAGCCAGAATGATGACCAACAACTCCCGATCTCCAATCTGGTAGTTGCACTCAGCTGAGGAAAGCTTCCTGGAGTAGAACCCGCAGGGAAGTAGGGGGTCCATCGGGCGACCGACGCTGAGACAGGAGAGCCCCTACTCCCGTCTCGGAAGCATCAACTTCGAGGACGAAGGGCAACCCAGGATTGGGATGCGAAAGAATCGGAGCCGAAGCAAAGGCAGCTTTCAGAGCCTCGAAAGCTATGATGGCCTCGGATGGCCACTCGTGAGGGTTACTCCCCTTCTTGGTTAGGTCAAAGAGAGGCTTTGCCAATGTGGAGAAGTTCCTGATGAATTTCCGATAGTAGTTGGCAAAACCCAGAAAGCGCTGAATGGGCCGAAGACCATTGGGACGAGGCCACTGCAGAACCGCCGCAACCTTCTGAGGGTCCATGGAAAATCCCTCCGCGGAAATTATGTAGCCCAAAAAGGCAACCTGGGATCGATGGAACTTGCACTTCTCGAGTTTACAAAAGAGTCCGTTCTCACGCAATCATTGCAGCACCTGCTTGACATCCTGGACATGGGACTCCATGGAGGTAGAGTAAACCAAGATGTCATCCAGGTAAACCAATACGCACTGCTGCAACAAATCACAAAGGACATCGTTTATGAATTCCTGAAAAACCGCGGGCGGGTTACACAATCCGAAGGGGGAAACACCAGGTATTCGTAGTGCCCAGTTCTGGTGTTAAACGCGGTCTTCCACTCATCCCCCTGTCTGATCCGTACGAGGTTGTACGCCGCCCTAAGGTCGAGTTTGGTAAAGACTGTTGCTCCCTTAAGGCGGTCGAACAACTCAGAAATCAAAGGAATTGGATATGCATTTTTAATGGTAATCCGATTGAGACCCCTATAATCGATGCAGGGCCTCAATTCCCCACCTTTCTTCTTTACGAAAAAAAAACCCGCTCCTGCTGGGGAAGTAGACTTACAAATGTGCCCCCGGGGAAAGCGCATCCACAACGTCCTCCTCCATGGCCTTATTCTCCGCAACCAAGAGAGGGTACACCCTGCCACGTGGGAGGAGTGGCCCCGGGTTGCAAGGATATGGCGCAGTAGTCGTAAGGACGATGCGGTGGTAAGGTACCAGCACGTACCTTATCAAACACGTCCCGGTACTCCCCATAGTCGGTGGGCAACGCAGAGTCCGAGGAGGCACACAATACCTTAACCGGCCCCCGGATGCACCCGGCCCCACACTGTGGAGACCATGAGAGAATCTCGGCTGTTTGCCAATTGAAGGTTGGATTGTGCCTCTGGAGCCAGGGATACCCCAAAACCACCGAATAGTGTGGGGAAGAAATCACCTGAAAACAGGCCAACTCCCTGTGAACAGCCCCAATGGCTACCTCTATTGGCAGAGTCTCATGGGTAACCTGCGGCGGTTGCAGGGGCCTGCCATCTATTGCTTCGAGAACCAATGGGGCAGCACGAGCCTGCAGGGGAATGGAGTGCTGTGCAGCAAACGAGCTGTCCAAGAACAACCCACCGGCCCCAGAGTCTACCAACGCCTGGGCCGTCACCGAGCCCCCCCGTCCAAGAAAGGACCACGGTGATCAGTGGCTTATCCTTGCGGAACGCCGGGGACGAGGAAACTCCACCCAAGATCTGTCCCCGACATGATCTCAGGTGCGAGCGTTTCCCGGACGGGACCGGACAAGACTGCCGAAAGTGCCCACCGAGGCCACAGTACAGGCAGCGACCCTCCCGACGCCGAGCGGCCCGCTCCCCCCTCGGAAAAGCGAGCAAACCCCAGCAGCATGGGTTCCCCACCAGACAAGCTATCCCCAGGAGGCGTGGGAGGAGAGGGAGGAACGGGTGGGATAGAAAACGCAGGTGCCAGTCGATTGGAAGGCCTCCGCAGGCGTTCCTTGAGTGAAGGCCTCTCCATGAGCCTGGTGTCAATCAGGATCAGGAAAGAGATGAGCTCCTCCAACACCGCAGGCAGTTCCTTAGCTGCAATCTCGTCCTTCAATGTGTCAGAAAGACCATGGGAAAACGCAGCCACCAGAGCCTCATTGTTCCAACCGACCTCTGCCGCCAGGGTACGAAACTCTATAGCGTACTCGGCCACGGTCCGTGAACCCTGATGCATGGTCATGAGCAGCTTGGCCGCCGAGGCGGAACGAGCCGGTACGTCGAATACCCTACGGAAGGCATCAACAAAACCGGAAAAATCTTGAATCACCGGGTCGTTCCTCTCCCATAAGGGATTTGCCCAGGCCAAGGCCTTGTCTGAGAGTAGTGAAATTAGGAACCCCACCTTTGACCTCTCAGACGGAAAGGCGTGGGGTATTAATTCAAAATAAATACCCACCTGGTTGAGGAACCCACGACACTGACTCGGCTCACCCCCAAAGCGCTGTGGAAGAGGGGCAGAACCAGTCATACCGCTGGGCGCCGCTGATGCAGCCGTCGAGGTGGTGGACGCAATAGGCGGAGAAGCAGCGGGAGAGACCACCGGAGCGACTACCGGCCTAATAGCACCAGGAGCAAGGTGTGCAGTGCGTGCAAGCAGAGTTTGCAACGCCTGAGCGAACTGATCCAACAGGTGATCCTGTTGATCGAGTCTGGTGACTAGCATTGGGAGCGAAGGCGTGCCTGCACCATCAGGGTTCATGGCACTTGTGTAATGTCAGGGCAGGAGCTGAGGAACGGACAGGCAGGCCTAACAATGTAACGCACTGGCTGACGACAACCACCACCCACAGACCGAAGTCCCTCAGGGCGCGGAGTCTAAGTCCCAGGCTGCCCTTCACCAGGGCCCCTGATGGTGGGGATGGACTTGACGCAGCCAGGAACCAGGTCGCGGCCCCCGAGACACCTCAGCTGCGCCGGTAATGGCGTGTAGCTGGTGGAAGAGACAAAAGAGTAGTCAGACAAGCCGGGTCAACAACAACAGGACAAAACAGTACAGGACAGCAGACGAGAATCACAGGTCACGAGCCGGGTTCAGCAACAGAGGGTCAGATCAAAGGAGAATACAAAGAATAGTCAAGTCACAAGCCGAATCAGATACCAGGAGAGTCACGAGAGTCAGAACAGAGTAATAGCAACACAAAGACACAAGACACAAGTGCAAAGAGCATGTGCGGGCCACAGGCTTATATGTCATCAGCCACACCCCCCTCTGGGGGATGGACCACAGAAACCTGAAGGTATAAAAGGATTCCCATCATGCACAGCAGAATCCAAGATGGACGCCAGCACATGGAGTAACATAACCTCAGGGGAAAAGGTAGGACCTTGACATCATGTCCTCCAACCCTTCAAACTAACAACTCACCAGAGGTAATAATCACCAACTCTTATCACTCTCTCAGGCACAGGATCCACTTTCTTTCAGCCACTATAGAATTACTATTTTTTTTCCAGATTCCTCCTTAAACCTCCAAGCACATAAATTTGAGACCATAAGCAAAATACAAAAAAGCACTCCATATATCATAGTAGTATAAAATCCTCTTTATTTATAAAAAGCATGTGAAACAAAATGCACTTACACTTAGGGGTGGCTGCCCCAACACTAAGGATAAACTGCATACAACAATAGAACACTTGCCGGCTCCAGTCACATAAAGGCTACAAGCAAGCAAGCAACTGTGCAGGATGACATCATTCCAAAAGCCCTGTCCTATGCATTTTGTAGTAATGACCAATTCATCCCTGAAGATGTCATTATGACAAAACGCGTAGGTTTACGTATATATTTTTTGTTTGTTTTTTTTACATAAACTTTAAACATTTAAATGGTAATGATAGAAGTACATTTTGGGAAAGATTGCAGGTACAAAGTCTAAAGGTCAAATGAGTTGAGGTACAAGTAGGCTGTAGAATGAAGCTGCAAATCGGGTTCTGGTTCATAGGTTACAGATGGGGCATTATGGAATTTTCTTGTTTTTTTAATGTTACCAGAGTCATGATTTTCATATAGCTCTGTGGAACTGATCCCTCTCAATCAACATTAACTATATTTATTCCTTAAGTGGCTATTATCAACTAGCTAGGAAGGTATATTATATTTTCTTGTTTTAAAACTTTTTTTTAACATTTCTTCAGTTGCCTCCTTGTTTTTGGCCTAGCAAAAAATGATGTCATATATCCCAGGTGTCTTCGTGGGCATTTTTTTTTCTTTTATTTGAGGAGGGAAGGAGGGGCTTTCTCTGCTAAGCACAACTTCCTGTCGGCATGCGTGAGCTAAGGGCAGAGGGATTCCAGGACGTAAATACTACATGAATCGTCTGCCCTTACTCAAGATGGCTGCAGCTTAAAATGCTAGGGGGTGTTTTTCCAAGTGATTTCTCAACAAAATAAAGCATGGAGACATGGATGGATGGGTGAGTTTTCGGTGAATATTAAAAATGAACTAAATCGCATTTTTGTGGTGTTCAGAAACTGTTAGGTTCTCTTTTAATCTAGTTGCATACTTTGTGCAGTTACATTTCTGAACTTTTTTTGTTTTCTGTTTATTGTTCTACAGATGGCAATTATTATATTGGCTATCCTGTTGTTCTTGGCTGCAATGTTATTCATCTTCATGAACTGGTACTACCGAACTGTGTAAGTTCAGTATAAGTATGTACTACTGACACCAGTATAGGATAATATTGTTTAGCTGATCTATAGAGAAAAACTATGCACTATACATGGTATATTTTACAATTACAAAACACAAAATGAGTCCCCAAGCTTGGTAATTTCACCAGTATCTGGTTATTTGTAAGAAAGTTTAGCTTCCAATCAAAGTTCCATATGTCTTAGCCAGTCTATTAGGTGTGCTAGGCATGCCCAAAAAAGAGCTATTAAAAGTACCCAGTGTGTATGTAGCATGCTCTACCCTCTCACCCCTACGCTTTTACTGGCAATTCCTGGCTGTCAAAGTTACATCTGTGACTTTCTGTGTAAAAACAGCAGCCCGCTCTAGCCATTGATGTTAAAAATTGACCTTTTGATCAGTGTTTACTCTGTTTCATTATTTGCATTTCTTTGATCTTCATATGATATCAGTTAAAGCAACCTTATAAATAAAAAAAATATTACTGTATATAAAATTTGTCCATATTTCACCCTCTTATCGAAAATTTAGTTAACTATAATCAGACCTGATTAACTCCTTCCACTTAGGTATTATTTTCCTGCTTCCATCTGTATAATTGTTTTCCATTTTTATACTTTGTATTTGTGTAGTGAAAAGAAAACTATTGTTTTACCTGTAACAAAAAAAAGAAAACTATTGTAAAATGTTTATTTATTCTAAATGGCAATAAGTCATAAAATGAATTCACAAATAATAAGATTTGTTTTCTATTTTTTATTAAAACTTTCAGACACAAGAGAAAGTTAAAAGCTATAGTGGCTGGATCTACAGGTAAGTCATGGATAAACTTTTGGAAATGTGTTAAAAGGTCACCCATAGTAGATATTTCACTTTCACACAAATGCTACATGCTAGGTGATTTTCTACACATTAAAGGTACTCTGGTAAAAAAAAAAGGTCCATAACTTCTTACTATATGGGAAGGCTTACACAAAGTACAAAGTGATCCCACATACATAAACAGGGAATTGCTAAAGTCATGAAAAATGTTTTTATTATATGTATTTTACCTTCTATAGAAGCCAATAATTGTGTAAAATTACTTGTGAGCCACTGAAGGGTGCACACATATATACCTCTATATACAATATAATAGATCGCTGGCTTCCTTGCTCACCCTCACTCGATGTGCATCAAAAAATAAACAGTAAATAAATATGGTGCCGCGCTCTATCAGTCATGCAACATCAAAACATATCCTAATCTATAAAAGCAGTTGTGCACCATAAATGTGCATATAAAACTACATCCCCCAGAGGAAGCTACGAGTCCCTGTAGCGTAACGCGTAGGGGAGGGGCAGTGTCGTCACCAGGCATCCGTACCTAGACACGGCGAGTATTGACAGTGTGCGCAGGCACACCATCAAGGCTGACCTCACCGCTATCTGCGGTTTTTTATATATACAAAGCGCATCTTACTCTTTTTACATGTGAGTGCATTACCAACGCACATTAAAGTCTTACACCCCAGATAAGACACTATGCATCTTTTTTTCTTTTATATATGTTCCACACAAGGAGAATGTGACCAAGGAGTCTGCTGAGGAAGGAAAAGATCTCGTTCATTACAATGACCCACGGTGCAGCTTCTATAGCACACCACACCAGTTTTACTACTTAAACTTTCACAGAGGAGAGTATACTGAACTCTATTGCATATTGCATCTATAAGGAAATTGATGTTATAATGCATAAAGGACTTCCTATATAATCTAAAATTACCACCAGAACACTTTCTAAAGAATTTATTGTGTATTAACGTCGATATTTAATGTATTGTAATCATTGGCACAAGGTGGAATATATGCACATTTATGGTGCACAACTGCTTTTATAGATTAGCATATGTTTTGATGTTGCATGACTGATAGAGCGCGGCACCATATTTATTTACCTTTCTATAGGAGGCCACCAGAATCTGACTTGTTGGCTTGCATGGCTGCAGCCTTAAGAATTGGCTGGCTTTCCAAGCTGTGTTGCTGACTTTGCCATATTTGTGATACTTTTTTTTTTTTTATTAAAGGTTTTGTTGTTTTTCAGTGCCTATTGTTCTCAAATTTTGATACGTCACACAGCAAATCTTTCAGATGTTAGCCTTATAAGAAAGATAATTAAATGAATCTTAACCTGTGCTATTTTTTCAGGAAACAGAGGGTTCATGGATATTCTTGATATGCCTAACACTAATAAATACTCATTTGAAGGGTAAGTTTACTAGAGCTTTTCAAGAGTCATACACATTCTTTTATAAAATAAGTGATACATGGTTGGACAAGTGCTAATAGCATCATATGCATGGATGCTTAGATTGACCTACCTTCAATCTCAGGAGTGTAGCTTTTAAAAAAACAATTTTGAAATGACTGAAATACTAATTGAATAATAAATGTATACTATACATATTGTGCTCATTAAAAGAGTGCTTTAAGGTGTATCATGGTAAATTCCTGTTTATGACAATCTTCAAAGTCTAATTGTATTCTTACCAGCCTTAATAATGATAGTAGACTTTGACTGGTACTTTAGGATAATAAAACGTTTATTTAATGATAAGTAATAATAATTGCAGTTACAGGGTTACTGGTTCCATGGCACAATCCACTAGCAGCAACTTATCCCATAGCATACATCAATGGAGGTATTGTCAGTAGCAGGGGCGGACTGACAACTCATGGGGCCCCCGGGCAATAGGGTATCATGGGGCCCCCGTGTCCTCGCCCACACCCAAAAAAGCCTATGAAAAAGCCAATGAAACGTACCAGGGGCATCTCATTTGGCCCCCTACTGACCCTGGGCCCTCGGGCAGTGGCCAAGTGTTCGAATGGTCAGTCCGCCCCTGGTCAGTAATATACTGTGTGGAAAGTAACGTAAGTGTAAGCGCCTTGATATAAATAAATATAAGCTGCTGTGCAACAAAAAAGTACCCAATAACACCCTAGAGCAGCGGTTCTCAACCTGGGGGTCGCGACCACTTTGGGGGTCGAACGACCATTTCCCAGGGGTCGCCTAAGACCATCGGAAAACACATATTTCCGATGGTCTTAGGAACCGAGACACCGCTCCTGTCTCCGGCGTTGTGTGGGCGGGATGATATGCTGCCCCTGTCACCGCCTCCTCGCCGCTGATTGGCCACCGGAACTGTAGCTCAGGAGAGGCACACAGGCGGCCAATCACCGGCGAGAAGGTGGAGCTTGGAGAGGAGGAGCCGAGCGGCAGCGCGCGGAGATCGAAGAAGATCGAGGGAGCTGCAGGAGCGAGTGAAGAGAGAGGCCAGAGAAGGAAGACAGCTGACAGGTAAGTGCAAATTTTGCTGCTGCAGCCAGGTATGCAGGCTGTAGATGGAGAGGGAGAGAGCGAGATGAGGCTGGAGCAGGGGTCAGCAAGGTAAGTATCATTGGTGTCAGTGGGAGGGATAGTGCCCCATCATTTGTGTCACTAATACCAACAATGGGGCACTATTCCTCCCCCCACTGACACCAACGATGGGGCACTATTCCTCCCCCCACTGACACCAACGATGAGACACTATTCCTCCCCCCACTGACACCAACGATGGGGCACTATTCCTCCCCCCACTGACACCAACAATGGGGCACTATTCCTCCCCCCACTGACACCAACGATGGGGCACTATTCCTCCCCCCACTGACACCAACGATGGGGCACTATTCCTCCCCCCACTGACACCAACGATGAGACAGTATTCCTCCCCTCACTGACACCAACGATGGGGCACTATTCCTCCCCCCACTGACACCAACGATGGGGCACTATTCCTCCCCCCACTGACAATAACGATGGGGCACACTATTCCTCCCCCCACTGACACCAACGATGGGGCACTATTCCTCCCCCCACTGACACCAACGATGGGGCACTATTCCTCCCCCCACTGACACCAACGATGGGGCACTATTCCTCCCCCCACTGACACCAACGATGGGGCACTATTCCTCCCCCCACTGACACCAACGATGGGGCACTATTCCTCCCCCCACTGACACCAACGATGGGGCACTATTCCTCCCCCCACTGACACCATTGATGGGGCACTATTCCTCCCCCCACTGACACCAACGATGGGGCACTATTCCTCCCCCCACTGACACCAACGATGGGGCACTATTCCTCCCCCCACTGACACCAACGATGGGGCACTATTCCTCCCCCCACTGACACCAACGATGGGGCACTATTCCTCCCACTGATACTAATGATGGGGCACTATTCCTCCCACTGACACCAATGATGGGGCACTATTCCTCCCACTGACACCAATGATGGGGCACTATTCCTCCCACTCATACCAATGATGGGGCACTATTCCTCCCACTGATACCAATGATGGGGCACTATTCCTCCCACTCATACCAATGATGGGGCACTATTCCTTCCACTGACACAATGATGGGGCACTATTCCTCCCACTGATACTAATGATGGGGCACTATTCCTCCCACTGACACCAATGATGGGGCACTATTCCTCCCACTGACACCAATGATGGGGTACTATTTCTCCCACTGATACCAATGATGGGGTACTATTCCTCCCACTCATACCAATGATGGGGCACTATTCCCCCCACTGATACCAATGATGGGGCACTATTCCCCCCACTGACACCAATGATGGGGACACTATTCCTCCCACTGACACCAATGATGGGACACTATTCCTCCCACTGACACCAATGATGGACACTATTCCTCCCACTGACGCCAATGATGGGACACTATTCCTCCCACTGACACCAATGATGAGGCACTATTCCTCCCACTGACGCCAATGATTGGGCACTATTCCTCCCACTGACGCCAATGATTGGGCACTATTCCTCCCACTGACACCTGATGGAGCACTATTCCTCTCACTGACACCAATGATGGGGCACTATTCCTCCCACTGACACCAATGATGGGGCACTATTCCTCCCACTGACACCAATGATGGGACACTATTCCTCCCACTGACACCAATGATGGGGCACTATTCCTCCCACTGATACCAACGATGGGACACTATTCATCCCACTGATACCAACGATGGGACACTATTCATCCCACTGACACCAATGATGGGGCACTATTCCTCCCACTGACATCAGTGATGGGGCGCTAGTCCTCCCACTGCAAAATTACAGTTATGAAGTAGCAACGAAAATAATTTTATGGTTGGGGGTCACCACAACATGAGGAACTGTATTAAGGGGTCGCGGCATTAGAAAGGTTGAGAACCACTGCCCTAGAGTAACAATGTAAAAAGAGTGCAGCACTAAGGTAAGCAATAATATATAATTGGATATGGATAAAAATCAACATATAAATGCAAAAAGTTCTAATGATAGTATGATCCAGGATCATACTATCATTAGAACTTTTTGCATTTATATGTTGATTTATCCATATCCAATTATATATTATTGCTTACCTTAGCGCTGCACTCTTTTTACATAGTATACTGTGTGGCTCTACCAGTAGTAGGTCTGTGTCAGGGCTCCGGGGTGTGACCAGAGGTATGTGACTGACACAGGGAAACGCAGACTTCAGATATGTTATAAACAATAAGACAATTTATTAAAGACTAACAATACAAACATAAACGCAGTGCAATACTAAAACATAACACAGTGCAAACGAACCAAACCAAACCACCCACAGATAACAATATATACAATGCAAGCGTCGTCAGGCAGGCCGGGTCAATAACAATCGGGCAGGTGGGAACAGGGGGTCAGGCAGAGAATGGTCGGGGTCACAAGCCAGGGATGAAACAGGAGAAGTCAGCAGAGGTCCGGAATCAGGCAGGGTCAGCAACGAATCAGACAGAGACAGGAACAGGTACAGGTACAGGAATGCAGGAACAAGATACAGGGCCCAGGAAAAACACACACACCAAGGCAAAGACTGCAGGGTTGAGTCTCTGATTGCTGGGAGCACCCGCTGGCCAGCCCTGGTACTGCAGCCCACAAGGCAGGTGAGTCCCACCATTACTGGCCAGTCCATTCCTGACAGTACCCCCCCCCCCTCAAGGAGCGGCCTCAGGACGCTCCAAACAGTCCTAGCTGGGCAAAATGTTCCACCGCCCCGGGTCTGGTAACTGGCGGGATATCAAAGACTGGCACATCGGGCAGGACTCCGGGCAGCGGCACACCGGGCAGGACTCCGGGCAGCGGCACACCGGGCAGGACTCCGGGCAGCGGCACACCGGGCAGGACAACGGGCAGCGGCACACCGGGCAGGACAACGGGCAGCGGCACACCGGGCAGAGGCACATCGGGCTGGACTCCGGGCAGAGGCACATCAGGCTGGACTCCGGGCAGAGGCACATCGGGCTGGACTCCGGGCAGAGGCACATCGGGCTGGACTCCGGGCAGAGGCACATCGGGCTGGACTCCGGGCAGAGGCACATCGGGCAGGACTCCGGGCAGAGGCACATCGGGCAGGACTCCGGGCAGCGGCACATCGGGCAGGACTCCGGGCAGCGGCACATCGGGCAGAGGCACATCGAGCTGGACTCCGGGCAGAGGCACACGGGCTGGACACCGGATCACCAGCCATCGCGACAGGCATCGGGCCCCCAGGCGGGGCGACAGGCATCGGGCCCCCAGGCGGGGCGACAGGCATCGGGCCCCCAGGCAGGGCGACAGGCATCAGGCCCCCAGGCGGAGCGGCGGGCGCTGGGCCCCCAGGTGGGGCGACAGGCATCGGGCCCCCAGGCGCAGCGGCGGGTGCCGGGCCCCCAGGAGGGGCGACAGGCATCGGGCCCCCAGGCGGAGCAGCAGCGGGCGCCGGCCCCCAGGAGGGGCGACAGGCATCGGGCCCCCAGGCGGGCGACAGGCAACGGGCCCCCAGGCAAGGCGACAGGCATCGGGCCTCCAGGCGGAGCGGCGGGCGGGCGCCGGGACCCCAGGAGGGGCGACAGGCATCGGGCCCCCAGGCGGGACGACAGGCATCGGGCCCCCAGGCGGGGCGACGGGCATCGGGCCCCCGGGCGGAGCGGCGGGCACCGGGTCATCAGGCACCACAACGGGCATCGGGTCACCAGGCATCAGGTCATTTGGCTCGCCAGTGGGCACCGCGTCATCTGGCAAGGCAGTGGGCACCGAGTCACCAGGCACGACAGTGGGCTCCGAGTCAACTGGCATGACCGCGGGCACTGGGTCAGACATTGGATCGTCTGGCCCGACAGCGGGCACTGGGTCATCAGGCATGGGATTGTCTGGCTCGACAGCGGGCATCGGGTCACCAGGTATGACAGCGCGGGCACTGGGTCACCAGGCATCAGGTCATTTGGCTCGCCAGCGGGCACCGCGTCATCTGGCAAGGCAGTGGGCACCGAATCACCAGGCACGACAGTGGGCTCTGAGTCAATTGGCACGACAGTGGGCATCGGGTCACCAGGCATGACAGCGGGCACTGGGTCACCAGGCATCAGGTCATTTGGCTCGCCAGCGGGCACCGCATCATCTGGCAAGGCAGTGGGCACCGAGTCACCAGGCACGACAGTAGGCTCCGAGTCAACTGGTATGACCGTGGGCACTGGGTCAGACATTGGATCGTCTGGCCCGACAGCGGGCATCGGATCACCAGGCATGACAGCGGGCACTGGGTCATCAGGCATGGGATTGTCTGGCTCGACCGCGGGCATCGGGTCACCAGGTATGACAGCGGGCACTGGGTCACCAGGCATCAGGTCATTTGGCTCGCCAGCGGGCACCGCGTCATCTGGCAAGGCAGTGGGCACCGAGTCACCAGGCACGACAGTGGGCTCTGAGTCAATTGGCACGACAGCGGGCATCGGGTCACCAGGCATGACAGCGGGCACTGGGTCACCAGGCATCAGGTCACTTGGCTCGCCAGCGGGCACCTCGTCATCTGGCAAGGCAGTGGGCACCGAGTCACCAGGCACGACAGTAGGCTCCGAGTCAACTGGCATGACCGTGGGCACTGGGTCAGACATTGGATCGTCTGGCCCGACAGCGGGCATCGGGTCACCAGGCATGACAGCGGGCACTGGGTCATCAGGCATGGGATTGTCTGGCTCGACAGCGGGCATCGGGTCACCAGGTATGACAGCGGGCACTGGGTCACCAGGCATCAGGTCATTTGGCTCGCCAGTGGGCACCGCGTCATCTGGCAAGGCAGCGGACACCGAGTCACCAGGCACGACAGTGGGCTCCGAGTCAACTGGCATGACTGTGGGCACCGAGTCAACTGGCAAGACTGCGGGCACCGAGTCGACTGGCGGAACTGTGGGCACCGAGTCGACTGGCGGAACTGCGGGCACCGAGTCGACTGGCGAACTGCGGGCACCGAGTCGACTGGCGGAACAGCGGGCATCGAGTCGTCTGGCAAGACTGCGGGCACCGAGTCAACTGGCGGAACAGCGGGCACCGAGTCGTTTGGCATAATAGGATCATCAGGCTGGATCAGTTCATCAGGCTGGGTAGAAACATCATGCTGGGTAGAGACATCAGGCTGAATGGAGGCATCAGGCTGAGTGGAGGCATCAGGCTGAGTGGAGGCATCAGGCTGGGTGGAGGCATCAGGCGGGGTGGAGGCATCAGGCTGGGTGGAGGCATCAGGCTGAATGGAGGCATCAGGCTGGGTAGAGGCATCAGGCTGGGTACAGACATCAGGCTGGGTAGAGACATCAGGCTGGGTAGAGGCATCAGGCTGAATTGTGGGCGCCGAGGCACCAGGCTGCACCATGGAAGGCAGGTTCTCAGATGGGAGGCTGACCGGTTTGGATACTGGCAGGATGGTATTGGTTGGAAAGAACTTTCGCCTTTTCCTGGTTTTAGTTACCGGAGTACTGTAAGTAAGCTCAGGTTTGTAAATGGATGGAGCAGCTGGAGACAGAGAAGAGCTGGAGGATGGAACAGGGGAGGGAACAGTTGCTACAGAGGGCTTCTTTACAGGGTTAAAGGCAGGATAGGTGCAGCGAGTGGGAGCAGGGTACTGACATGCGGTAGATAGCAGGGTATACTGGGCTGTAACTGGAGGTGCTGTTGGGAAAGCAGGAATAGAGCTTTGAAGAAATAGATTTGAAGCAGGACTGGGTTTTTGCAAGCTGACTGAGGCTGGGTGCAACAAGTCTGACCATGTCTGCAGTATGGGTTGAACAAAGCTCCGCTTACACAAAGGCTGTCTGACCAAAGACTGCACTGCGTTTATACAATCTCTTAGTATCTGTGGTGAACATGCAGCATAATGCTCCAAGAAGTAATCCACATCATCCTCTAATAACCATACCAGGGACTCTACCTGGTCTGCACTAAATGGCGGCAAAAATTCACCCCTGCTTTCAGGGGTACCAGATGAAACCAACTCAGCACAAACCTGAATCAATGGCTGCACCTCAGAGAATTCTGTGCCCTGATCTACTAGAACATGAGCGATCCGTATACATTCTAGCAGTTCATCCCTGGGATACTCCTTCAGAGTTTGATAAGCATACTCTCTGTCATCAAACACTAGCAGAGATAAATACACAACCTCGACAAGATCCATCCTTCCCAGCAACAAGCCAAGATGGCTTCCCTGTGCAGCCACTTCTTGACAGGATTGGCCTTGGTGTAATGTCAGGGCTCCGGGGTGTGACCAGAGGTATGTGACTGACGCAGGGAAACGCAGACTTCAGATATGTTATAAACAATAAGACAATTTATTATTAAAGAATAACAATACAAACATAAACGCAGTGCAATACTAAAACATAACACAGTGCAAACGAACCAAACCACCCACAGATAACAATATATACAATGCAAGCGTCATCAGGCAGGCCGGGTCAATAACAATCGGGCAGGTGGGAACAGGGGGTCAGGCAGAGAATGGTCTGGGTCACAAGCCAGGGATGAAACAGGAGAAGTCAGCAGAGGTCCGGAATCAGGCAGGGTCAGCAACGAATCAGACAGAGACAGGAACAGGTACAGGTACAGGAATGCAGGAACAAGATACAGGGCCCAGGAAAAAACACACACACCAAGGCAAAGACTGCAGGGATGAGTCTTTGATTGCTGGGAGCACCTGCTGGCCAGCCCTGGTACTGCAGCCCACAAGGCAGGTGAGTCCCACCATTACTGGCCAGTCCATTCCTGACAGTCTGATACAGGGTGCTTGGCCTGGGAGTTCGAGGTTGGCCCATGTACTGTAACCTGTAATGAACCTGTATCCTACACAGGGGTGTATTTACCACAAGGCAAACAAGGCATTTGCCTAGGGCGGCATTTTTCAGGGGGGCAGCACTGCCCAATGAAAGAAGGGATGGAAGAAGGGACACACGCAGCATGGGGACCTGGTGGGTTCTGAGAGAGGTTGCGGGTTTCATGATGGTGTATTCACAGCCAAACTCTCGTTCCTGGGGATGTCCAGAGCTGTGAAGGTGAGTGTCTTTCTCTCTCTCGACAATGGGGGATGGTGTGGGGGGCAGTGATAGTGGAAGGCTCGGGTGGAGGGCAGGGGTGCTCTTGGTCAATGTCAGGCTCTTTCTGCAGGGGGGGGCGCCAATTTTTGTGTTGCCTAGGGCAGCACAAAACCTAAATGCACCACTGATCCTACAGCCTAGAGGTAACTAGACTCATATTGCTGGATTTTCAAAGTATGCAATTGCCCAGCTTAACAAACTATTTGGTTGCAGATGTTGTTATTGTTGCTACCCTGAGGTCTGTGTATCTTAGGTGCCAGTACTTCTTTCTGTGTTTGTAGGGCAAATCCTGTATGGCTGGATCCTTTTTGCAGAAATTTGGAACTGGCGGCACAAGCAGAGCATGAAGATGACTTGCCTGAGAACTTGAGTGACATCACTGATCTGTGGAACAGCCCAGCAAGAACTCATGTAACTATTCTTTTATCACTCTAGTATGAATAAAGGTATAAATTATCATTTTCAGCATTTGGTCTGTCACTCTCCTTTACCCAAAATGTAATCTCACCCCCATTAGATTTACACAAACCCTGAATTTCTGGTCTGTACCTCCTATAAAACTAAAGGTATATTTTAGATAGATTAAAGAACAGTTGCTACACTCTAGTACTTAGTAACACCTATGCAGCAAAGAGCAAAAACACTGCAATTGTAGGGTAAATTGTATCTAAACTCAACAATATATGTTATTTTTTTTTTTATATTGCAGCTTACCTGTCTTTAGATGTGGTGGCTGCAATAGTTTTAGTTTTTCAGTTTTTAATCCTTTATTTTCTTCTAATAGTCCTCTAGATAGTACACTTCCTGCCCCAGCAGACAACACATATTCATGTTTTATTTTTGTTTTATCTTTATCTCCATTACATGGGCGCTGGGGGAATTGGTACTTTACAGAAGGTAGCTTTGAAGGAAAATAAGATTTTTGATATATTGATTCAGCTCAACTGAAGTTTTGAAGACACTACATTTTTGCAAGATAAAATTTTTTTTTTCATTACTTGCTGAAAATGTGCTTAGCCTAAAAATGAAAGCTAATACAGCCACCACATCTACAGACTGGTAAACTACAATATATTACATTTTTGTTCTTGGTTTTAGATATCCTTAAAAGAAAACGGGGTACAGTTATTCTCTCAAAGACCAGCAGAGTAATTTGTTTTTTCCATTCTTTTTACACCATTTGCTCTTACTTGAGTAGCAATTGTTACCTTGTGTGTATGTGAAAATAAATATGTTTATCTTATGGTATCAAAGGCCTGGGTCTGGCCAAGAAACCCTAAAGCTGTTTATTCTTTAGGGTACTTTTGGACGAGAACCAACTGCCACCAAACCAGATGATGAACGCTACCTTCGCGCTGCAATTCAAGAGTATGACAACATTGCAAAGCTGGGGCAGATTATGCGTGAAGGGCCCATTAAGGTGAGGCTAAGAATTGTTGGTAAAACAACAACAAATCAGAGCAAAAAAGTCTCAAATCCAAAGTGTCAGAAACAATAATAAAGTTCAGTATTGTGAGTCCACATTGCACTAGGGCAAGCTCTTGAAGCTATAGCAGGCTCTGAGTGAAACGAATAAGGAAGAAAGGTGCCTCTAAGTGCAGGATTAAAGGACGTTTATTGCCAAACAAACAAAATGCCACTCACATGGTAGACATGTAAAAGAAGCTCATCAGAGTAATAAAATGTTGAGGGGTGATGTCCATGTCCCCGCTGGAGAAAGCCGTGACTAGTGCTGAGGGAGACTGGAGATGGTGAAAGCTGACCAGCATGTGTATCTCTGATGGAAGGGCAATGGAAAGTACTGTGGAGTGCAGCGCAACATTGGAGCCAGCGTGATGACGTAGAGAGGACCAGTGTCAGGAATGGACTTGCCAATGGTGGTGGGACTCACCTGCCTTGTGGGCTGCAGTACCAGGGCTGGCCAGCGGGTGCTCTCAGCAACCAGAAGCTCACTCCTGCAGTCAGCCATCACCTGAGGCTGATTGCAGGAAGTGTATTTAAGGAATGGCCAGACCTGCAGTCAGTGCCTTGGTGTATGTTTCCCATGAGCCCCTGTACCTGCATCCTGTCTGCTTCCTGCCTGATTCCTGATTCTGCTTGATCCTGACCTTGAATGAACTCTGCCTGTCCTTACCTCGGCTATTCCTGACCACTCTCCAGCCTGCTCCTTTGGTACCTTGTCTGCCTGATTGTTCCGGACCCGGCCCGTCTGACTACGCTCTGCCTGCTCCTTTGTGTCTTGTCTGCCCGATGATTCCTGACCCGGCCTGCCTGACCACTCCACCTCGCCAGCCCTGACTGCTCTTATCTGTGTACATTCCGTTATCAGTTGGAGGTTTGGTTTTGTTATATTGTGCGTTATATTTGTGTATAACTCTTAATAAATTATATTGTTACACCATACTTGAGCCTACGTTTCCCTGTGTCAGTTCACGCATCTCTGGTCTTACCGGGAGCTCTGACAACCAGTATGCAGTGCGACACGTTTCTGGAGGTGAGCATGGTCCTTTCTCAAGCACAAGGTTTGTCATGGCTTTCTCCAGCGGGGACATGGACATCACCCCTCAACTTTTTATTCCTCTGATGGGCTTATTTTACATGTCTACCATGTGAGTGGCTTTTTATTTGTTTGACAAAAAACATCCTTTAATACTTCACTTAGAGGCACCTTTCTTCCTTATTAAAAATTGTTGGTAAATGTTATTTATGTATATTCTCTTATTACAAGGTAATCCAGCTCAAATGGTCAAGATCCTTTAAAATACTGTAGTAATAGAGAAGAGCCTGGGTCAAATAACTTAACATATATCTAGCTAATAGTTTAACAGCTGTACATATATGTGAACTTTTTTTTATCTGCCAAATTATTTGTAATGGTGTTCAGCTAGTCATGTGACACAGACACCCCTGCCAGAAAGTATGGACGCCATCTTGTGTGTCTCAGTTGTCATTCGAGATATACTGGCTGCCCCTTAGGCACAAACCTTTTTAACTCTTTCTACTTGTCCCTGTTTATGGGTGGAGAGAACCTTCCATGAAATTCCATTATCAGTGTTTATATTTTGTTCTTTGTATGACAAGTTCTCTTTGCATAATTTCTTATGGCAGCAATCTCTGGGTGGTAGCCTAAGACCCCTAGTTCCAAGATCTTTCCATACCAACTTTATAGAGGAAGAGGGCTTGATGTATATTTGAAAAACTTTGAGATCCTCTGAACTACTATTGATTGTACATTGTAAATACTTTTTATATTAATGATACAAAAAGGACAGGTTCAGTGCTATCTCTCATACAAATAATGCACTGCATTTATTGGAATCTCAATATCTGAGAATGGTTCAGAGCTAACTATAATGATGATGATTTTGACTTAGATATCAGACAATCATGTCCCACCTACAATAAAAACAAAGTTTAAAGAAAACAGAGCATTTATTTGAGATTAGAAAATAGCTTTTATGCATGTTTGAATATTTATATTTTGTTTTATTTTGATAATATTCCTTCAAAATCATTATTGCCATCATCCACATACAGGGGTCACTTCTGAAAGTCGTACTGGATGATTACATGAGACTGAAAAAGTTATTAGCTCAAAGAATGGTTACTAAGGCCACCACCAGCACTGGTGACCATTCCTCAGTCACAGAGGTATACCATCTTACATTGTGTGCAGGCTAAAAAGCCTGGTGTGTCTCTAAGGGTGCAGTGGATCTGATTGGTGTGTTTTCTTTCTCTCTTCCAATCTTACTATATCTTTCTGTATTGATTAACATAAATTAATAGTCACTAGTGTTTTTGGTAGGTTTATTATAGAAAGGCGCAATTATATTTCTTTTTGTTGGTACATAAAGCATAGTCATAAAGCTAAGCATGCTAAATTTTAAGGCCCCATGCACACAGGCTTTTGAAAATAAGCAGCATTTTTCTGCTAGAATTTGGCAGAAAAGAGGCCTCTGGTGTTACAAAATGTATGCACCAGGGGCGGACTGACTATTTGGAAACTCGGGCTCTGCCCGAGGGCCCGGGGTCAGTAGGGGGCCCCATGAGATGCCCCTGGTACCTTTTTCATAGGCTTTTTTGAGTTTGGGCAAGGACACAGGGGCCCCATGATCCCCTATTGCCCGGGGGCCCCATGAGTTGTCAGTCCGCCCCTGGTATGCACATTTGCGCACGTATGGTGTTTGAGCATAGGTGCAATCTACTAGTCAGAATATTGATTTATTCTGGCCATTGGAATACATTTGCGCAATGCACACGCATTTATCCATGTATATGCTAGTTTTTTTCAGCAAAAAAAGCTCCCTCTCCGAACACACCTTTTTTTTTCTGCCTGCAAACACTCCTCTTCAAATACTTCTGTAAATGCCTATGTGTGCATGGCCACCTAGCCTAGCATAAAGGTGATTTTACAGGTTGAAAAAAAACCTCTGAAGGCCTGTATTAGCGGCGTGTTTTAAGCTCTGTCTCCATGAGGTCTAATAACCAGTGACTCCTATCTACCTTGTCCCGCTGTGGATTCACACCTATCTCAATATACAGTATCAACACTTCTTTGATGAAATAGTCAGGCAAACTATCATCCTACTCTGTCAGCAGTTTGGTGCTCAGTGTACAAAGCTGAAAGTGCATGAAAGTACATATATTAGCATGCTACTCCACCAATCATAATGCAGAAACTGTGTATAGAATGAGCCAATGCAAGACCCAGCAGGATGACCCTGGCAGGCAGGATGGCTGGAAGGCATGGAGGAAAATAACCAATAATGTGCCAGGTGTTTCTTATTTTAATTTAGATCCATTATTGCCCATTTCCTTACATAGTACAGTTTAAATGATTTCTCTCCTACTTCGCTTTTATGGCTGCATGTTCTATAGAAGAACCTTTATTGTTTCTATAGCAGAAATGTTATTGTTATTGTTTGATTATTTCTGATTCAGAATTACTGTAGCTAGGAAAAGAAAGCTGAAGATGGATTAGGTTAGTTACACTAAACATAAGGAAGCATAAAATTGGGGTAGCTGCTTTCGGTGGCAATCTTGGAGGCACTGTGGGGACACTCCATTCAAAGTGTAGCTAAGTAACTCTACTCCTTGTAAAATTGCAATATTAGCATTATTGCGCTCCCTGCCTGTCCCCTGTACCTTTCACCTTTCAGATGCAGCGCACGAGCCTCTTTAGCGATGCGGAGCCTGTTGAATGTGTAGGTTCAGTATCACCATGCTTTTTTTTAACAAGCGTTATTGAGATGACTGCCTTTTTGTGTGTTTTGGCAAGCACACAGACAGCCCTACCTGGGGCAACCATCTTTGCTGCTGGAGAAAGGGTTTGGGCAGCAAAAGGTTCACCTCGGCACAGTCATGGGAATCATGTACATATCTTCTTTAGACGGTTAAAAGGGAACTGTGGAAGATAGGCAGAAAATAACCAAACCAACTGAGTAAATTGCACAACACCTTTTTACCTCTTGCACATGACTCTGCCTTTTTTTATCTCTTGCCACCTCAATCTGATCATCATCTTGTTAAATTGTGGAAGTAATCTTCTTCCTGGACTAAAACTGCCACATGGCTAACTCCAGTCCAATGACTCCAGGGACACCAGTGGTGCAACTCCACATGGGTTTTGGGTTTGTAGGTCACATGGTGCATCAGGTGACTTACTGCCTTACTGGCACTAAAAGTCTTTTCTTCAGCAGCTGGGAGAGGTCAAACAGCTTGCTTGCTGGTGCATTAAGGCCTATATTTAGAATCAGTTTGAGAAGCATCTGAAATTATTAAGAGTACATTGGCAGGTGCAGTTAACTATTTTCGGACCCACACTTCTAACCTCTTAAGTGGCATCCACCTGCTTTTAGCTGCCTTTTATTCCTACTGATATGAATAGGGAGAGGAGCAGATGTGAAGCAAGCAAACTCCTGTAGACATGCCCTAAAGCAGCTGTAGCCATGATTTTATTCTTATTTTGAGCAACATACATTTTCAGAAGAGCCAAGTACATTGGGGGACATTTATCAATTCTGTTGCACAGCAAGGCATTGCTAAACAAGAGAATTGAGACAGATTATGTGACAGATGTATTACACAACTTGAGCCATAAATTCCACTTTGGCTGCTCTAAAGTTGCAAAGATAGGCCGTTTAGATGTAGTAATAAATTTGGTGCAGACCTTGCAAATCTGTCGCACTTGGCTGCCTGGGAATTCAGACACACAGGTCACAAATACACTAAAAACCTGTCACAGAGGCTTTGTTAGTGAGAGGCACACTGATTTGCCTCTATGCCGCTAAGCTGCTTAATATATGCCCCCCATTGTGTTTCAATAGTTTTTTGACTAAAGTTCCACTTTGAGTGTTCAAGCAGAAGATAGTTGAATAGTTATCAGGGGAAATTAGGTGGTTTGAGAATTCTACTTGTACAAATGACACAGTCAAGGATCTAATCAGACAAACAATATCAATCATTAACAAGGTAATACCATCTTATTTTGTGTTTAGTTGATTCAGAATGACTTGGATGAAGATGAGGATCAAAGCCCAAGACACGGATCACTACGCCTCAAACACAAGCAGCCGATTGAATTGAAAGGACAAGATGGAATCCACATTGTTCATGGTAGCACAGGGACTCTCTTGACTTCTGACATCAACAGTTTACCAGAGGAGGATCAGAGAGTCCTCGGGCGTTCTCTGGAAACTCTTAGCACAGATAATTGTGTTTTTAATGACAGAAATGCCCGCACAGAATCTGCCAAGTCCACTCCGATGCATAAGCTGAGAGATACTATCGAGGAGAGCCCTCTGGAGATAACAGAATTATGACTAGAGGTGGCCTCATTGGTCTAGCAGTTAAGAAGAGCGTACTGAGCCACCGCTTTAGCATTGTGGCAAAAAAAAAGGAACGGGGGCGGCTGATGATGCGAGCACAGTTTAGGCTGCCAAGAGTCTGTATGCAAAATGACCAGCGCCCCACCATCCAGAGCAGACAAGAAGGTTATATGAAAAGAAAATTTTCCTTCCAAAAAATCCAGAGATTATCTTCCACTGTGAATGGAGGGAGTGCACTCACACCATATCGCAGTGTTTCTGCTGGCTGTCAGACGTGAACAAATACTGATTTGTGTCAACAGGGTTGAAAATAATGCTAAGAATGGCTTGGTACAATGAATTCTTTTCTGCCGGCAGTGTTGTAAAACTTTCCTAGTGTTTGAAAAAACATACTCAAAAGACACTAACACTGGACAGAAACACTGCCAATAGGCCCGTGAGGTCATAACACGCTCAGAACTTTAGGTGAATGTCTTTCAGTTGTGCTGACTTACCAAAACGACACAAGTTTCCGATCACCACTTCCAAGACTTCTGAAAGAGTTATAGTGTGTCATTTTAATTTATTTTTAAATGTATGTGGATTTTGTGTTTTATTTCTTCTCTTTTTTTTTTAATGTTTGTTATGATGAGGAAAACAAAATGATGAATTAACAAAGTCTCAGTTATTTCAGCTGAAGGTGTTAATAAGCTTCCAGGTGAATGAGGCTACGTGGGTCCACAAAGTTTAAAGGATAAGTTCACCTCTTGATAAAAAAAATAATAAACGCTAATTTTTTTGTGCATTTTTAATTTGTTTCTAAGGAGCCTACAGAGCATTGCAACCATGATCAGCAGATTGCAGATGCAATGTCAGGTTTACTGCAGACTCTCAGGATAGCTGCCTACTCGTACCTCAAACAGGTAAGCAGTTACTTGACAGCAGAAAGATCAATGATCTTTGAGGATGCTCGCCAGCCTCCTCGTAATTTACTGAGACCCACAAGCCATCAACCACAATGGCTGATGGTACTTGTAGTCTGTCCATTATCAGGAAACTGTGAATGAATGATGCAGCCATGTTGGCGGCACCCCGAACAGCCATGCTCTTTTCAATTTGTGACAGCGGGTGCAGGGAGAGGATCCCTTGCCCACTGTCACAGGGCGGGGGGATCAGGGGGGAGAGGGTGCAGATGCTAGAACATATTACATGTTCCACCCTAAAAACAGATTGGAACATGTAACATATTCCAAAGCTGAACTTATCCTTTAAATATTCTTGCTTAACAAAAAGAAGTTATAAATGGTCCCAAAGCTCAACTTCAGCCAAAATGTATATTTGCTTTTGTTTAAAGTGAGGTTGAGTTAAAAGGTTTATCAGCTTTTTATTGTCACCTACGACCCCATTAAGAAGATTTTACCACACATCTTCTGGCGAAAAAAGTGGAAGTAAAGAGATTGCACTAGTGGGGAAAAAAATAAAACTGACAATGGCTTTTATTCCACATTAAACAATGTTTTATCTCTGTCTCGTTTTGCTCACTTCCTCTTTCAGTGACCACAAGATGTAAGAAAACATCTGCTCAACGGCTACCAAAACAGTATTAAAACCTAACAGAAGAAGAATATATCCCTTCTCTACTCACTGACATATAGAATATTGGCTGGAATTCTGCTTTAATACATTTATGCTGTACAGTATGTAGTATCAGGACTAGGAATATCGGTATATACGCAGCAGAGTGTCAAAGAGTGCCTTTAATCTGATGTGTAGTCCATATCTTTACACTTACATTCATGTCTGCGATGAACAAGGGATCTTCAGAACACAGCCAGTGACAGAGTAGGTCTGTACATCAGTGGAGCATTATCATGACACTTGTCACTGTAAATATTTCTAAAATACCTATATTTCTTGCTCCGATAGGTTCACATTGATAATTTTGCACAACTTTTCATAATTTACATACATCTTCCACAAGAGGAACTGAGGTCATAGTGATTTCAAAGACAGATTAAGTCATTAAGATCGCAGATTTTAGATTTGATATGAGGGAGCCCTAATGCTGCCCATACATGCAACCAATATCTAAAAATTTCAACCACTTGAACCGCTCAGATGCATCAACTCCACTAAATAGATGGTTTGCTTGTAAATTATATCTAAATAGGCATTTCAAGAGAGATTTTTGCCAGGTGTGCCAGAACATATTTTTTCCCACCGTGGCCATTATAAAACATTAGAAACCAAGGAGAGCCTCTGGAGATAAAAGAATTATGAATAGAGGTGGCTTCATTGGTCTAGCCATTAAGTAGTGTTTGCTGAGCCACCGCTTCAGCATTGTGGCACAAAAAGGAGAGGAGGTGTCTTATGTTAGCACAGCTTAGGCTATATGCAAAATTACTAGCACAATACCATCCAGAGGAGAACAGAACCTTATATGAAAATACATTTCCCTTCCAAAAAAAATCTAAAGATTATCTTCCATTGTAAAGGAGGGAGTGTACTCATACTATATTATGGTGAGGTAGTTAAAAAGTGTATATAAGAGCGCTGGACCAATATGGAGTCTGGTATCTCTGTAGGTGGTCCGTGATATGGTGCTCTTCAAAGGGCTCCTATAGGTATATCAGGGTGAAGGGAAAGGTAGTCCTGATGAGGACTTAGCTGCTGCCTCGTTGGTAGCAACGTTAAATGAATCCACAGGGTAAGTATAGACGAGGTAGGAGGAACACTTGATATGTAGGGATGTCACACTTCAGGCTTTTATACAACATATTTATTGAAACTTGCAGTTCACAGCATACAAATGGAGGCAACACGTTTTGAGGGAAAAGCACCCGCCTTCATCAGGGCTGAGGTGGTGGATGAATTTACAACTGGGCTGGAACTGGAGATGAGTTGTTACTGAAGCTCTTGTGAGGCTGCAGAAAATGGAACAGAGCCAGCCAAAGCCCTTCTGAAGGAATCCATAGATTATCTTCCATTGCCACTGAAGGAGTGTACTCATACTAAATCATAGTGTGGTGGCTTTCAGACAAGAACAAACATGGGTTTGTGGCAACAGTTTTGAAAGTAATGCTAAGAATGGCTTAGTACAAAGAGTTTGTTTGTTTCTGCCGGCGCTGTGGTAAAACTTCCCTAGTGTCCAAAAAGCCTGCTCTTTTATTCAAAATACACTAAAACTAGACAAAAACACTGCCACTTGAACTGCGATGTCATAACACGCTTAGACATTTGGTGTATGTCTTTTATTTGTGCTGACCTACTAAAATTATAAAAGTTTTTGATCACCCCCCACCAAAACGTCTGAAAGAATTAGAGTGTATCATTTTAATTTATTCTTAATGTGTTCATTTTGTGTTTCTTCTCTTACCTTTTGTTTAAATGTTTATTTATGATAAGGAATACAAAATGAAAAATTAACAAAGTCTCGGTTATTTCAGCTGAAGGTGCTAATTAGTTTCAAGGTGAATGAGGCTGTATGAGTCCACAGAGCTAAAACTACCTTTCGTCCCATATACAGGCTATGAATGGTCTTAAAGTTCACCTTTTCCAGAAAAATAGCTTATGCAGTCAAGGGGGTCCAGTAGATATTAAAATCGGTGCACCTTTTTAAAACATTAATTTTATTGTTTTACCTGTAGGCCATTTCTGTCCCCCAAGAAGCCCGGCTAAAAAAACTCATAATTAAAAACCCCCAATCCTGACCTGTTGCTAAGACGTGAAAACCATTGAATGCTCATCCTCAGCTTTGCAGAAGTGAAACACAGTGATTTTGTAGCAACAAGGCAGGACATGGGGGGTGGTTAACTAGGGTATTTTAACCCAGGCTTCTGGGGGCACATTAATGGCCTACAAGTAAAACAATACTTTTAATGATCATTTTGTAAAGCTACTTAGATTATTTAATATCTCCTGGGGTCCCTTGACTGCACAGGTTAATTTCTGGGAAAGTTGAACTTAGCCTTTAGAGCTCAACTCTTGCCAAAATGTATATTTGGTTTTGGTTATAGTGGGTTAGAGTGAGAATGAATTAGAAGGTGTCCCCATTATGAAGGTGTTACCACCCTTCTGCATCTGGAGAAGAAAAAAAGGATCTCCCTATTAGGGAAAGAGCAAAAACTGACGCATGCTTTCATCATTCCCTACTCTTTCATTCTACTTTAAAAAGGGTTTGTTTCTATCCCATTTTGCTTTTTTCCCACTTATGACCACATAAGATTAAAGGGAACATCTGCCCAAAAGCTACCAAAAGAGTAATATCCCTACCCTACTCTTAAGGGAAAATATTGGCTGCAGTTGTGGTTTAACAAGTATGTATTGTATGTAGTGTCAGGACTAGAAATATAGGTATACTATGCAGCAGGGTGTCAAAGGTGCATTTTTTTTTATGTGTAGATTCAGTATCTTCACTTGCACCCTCTGATGATTTTGACAGCCACCAGTAGCCATCTGCTGATTTCCATTCATGGCTGTGATGAACAAAGTCTCCTGAGGACACAGCCAACGATAGAACAGACCTGCAAATCAGTGGAGCATCATAGTGCCATATCACTGTAAATAATTTAAAAATGGAAAAAGACATACTTTATATTTTTAGTCCCTTTAGTTCCACATGCAGTTAATTTTGTATAACTTTTCATATTTTATATATGTCTTCCACAAGAGGAACAGAGGTCTACTGATGGTTGTCAGTCAAACAGAGAAATGTGATCTTGGCTTCTATGTGGGGGGAACCCTATCACTGAACATATACACAGCCAGTTTTTCAACATTTCACCAATGGATCAAAAAGTTGAAAAGATGGTTTTGTTATCAATTATATCTAATTAGGCATTTCTAAAGAGATTTCTGTTAGTTGTGCCAGAACTTTTTTTTTCCATCCTAACTAATATAAAACACTGTGGACCTCATGCCATGATTGGATTCAAACAAAGCGAATTATAAATATTAATGGCAAATAAGAAATGGAATTTCAAAAGTATAAAAACATAAAAACTCGCCTACATGCT